GCTGTCTTCCATACAGCCACTAGAGGCGCTTCCTGGTCCCTAATGCAGTTTGAATTGCCATCGCCATGAAGTCACGGTTTGAGGAAACCTAGCCAGTTCTGAGGGAACCTCTTTGCTGGAGAGTGACACTACAATACAGGTTTGTATTCCTAATGCTATAGTGTTCCTTTAAAACAAAATGCAACTCTTCTTCTATTACTCCAACACCAGAATGTACTTACCTCACTGAGACCTGTACTTCTAGTCTTGGTAGGTCAGGCTGAGCTCAGTGTGGTGCATTCTCATAACGTACATAATGTCACGGTGCCTTGCATTGCTACATAAAGTAAATATCAACGAACAAGGCAAAAAACAAGGATAAAGCTCTCTTACAGAATACCCTCTGCATTACCCTGCATGCAGCCTATTTGTACAAAGTATCTATTTATGTGTGTTGGGGACTGCATTTTCTGTTCTATTTAATTTTTTTTTTTTAAATGATTCCCCCCTCCATTATATATGCATTTTTTAATATACCTAATAAAACAGTTGTATGTTGATCTGGCAGGATGTGAACATACAATATCTGTGTTTATGCATTTTCGTCGTCCCCCCCTCACCCATCCAAATTCCTACCTGCATGGAGTTCAGTCCCTGTGGGAAAGGCTGGATTCCTGTCATTCTGCACTGCTGGAGTGACCGTGATTAGTGAATGGTCTACCTCTCTCTGTTCCTGCTGGGTGATTTAATGTCTTCATTGTGTGAAAAATCAGAATGAAATTCCTCATGGTTTAGGTATTCTCTCCAACCCTGTAAGATATATTAAAAGGTATCTGACCTCCCCCTCCCCCCCAAAAAAAAAGAAGGGGAAAAAAAAGACAATTTCATTTAAAAAAAATAATAATTTTTATGTCCATTGCTGAGGCCAGGTTTTCCCTGCAGCCAGACCCTCTTATAGTGAGGTCACTGTACTGCAATAGAACTCACTACAATGTGCTCTCCTTATTGCCTCTTCATTGAGAGTTCTGCTTTAAAGGGACCCAATGATGCATCCTCATTTTTAGAGATCGTTTGCACAATGCAAAAAATATGGACATGGGTGTATACGCCTACAGGGTCATTTACTACAGTGAGAATGGTCAGGAACTCAATGTGAATTTCAAATTTAAGGAAAAAATTGGTAATGCTTTTAGTTCAGAATTATGGTCTAAAATGTGATATACACTTTGATTTTCTCTCTGTATTCCCTACAATTCTCACTTTTCAGTAAAGAATTCTTTCGAAAGGACGATATGTAATCAGTAAACACAAATTTGTGTTTTTTGTTTTTTTAATTCAATTCCTCTCTGAAATATATATGCTTTAGTAGTATCACTAAGTAAATAAGATGATGTAATCAGGGTTATTCACTAATGTGAGAATTCAAGATGACTTCAAAGTGAATTCCAAATTTAAAGGGACACTATAGTCACCCAGACCACTTCAGAGAGAAACTGCTATGTTTACATTTGGGGTTAATCCAGCCTCTAGTGGCTGTCTTCCATTTTCCTGGCACTACAGGTTTAATAGGTCCCTCCCTCCAGCGGGGCTGAAGGGGTTAAAACCTCTTCAGCCATTTACCTTAATCCAGCGCCGAGGGGCTCAGCCCATGCTCCTTCCCTGCCGAAGTCAGCCGGCGGGGAAGACCTAATGTGCATGCGCGCTCATTAAACCTCCCCATAGTAAAGCATTATTCAATGCTTTCCTATTTGGAAAATCTGACACTGGAGGTCCGTGAGATAACGGACCAAAGGTCTGTTAGGATTCCGGGAAGTGCCCCTAGTGGCACAGAGGGCAGACTTAGAGCTGCAATGTAAACATAGACCAGTTCACTACCGCATGGAATCCCACAAATCTATGTTAGGGGGAATTCGCCCGAATGTAGACCTGCTTTCTTGCACATGCTAGCTAGTTCATCCTAATTTACCAGTGAATTTGCTTTACGACCGTGTTGTAAGAACGTAACCCGGTCGGTAAGTGAGGACCACCTGTAATATATAAAAATTAATACAAGACCTGGTCTTAGTTTTGGGGAAAAATTTTATTTTACTCTACTGCAATAATTCTAGTTCATTCTGTGGACTAATGTTTCAAAGTTTTAATCCAAGCACAATGTTTAACTGCATGACTGCACTTGGAGCTGCCTACTTTAAACTGCACTTGAACAAGGCCTCAGTAATTCCTGTTTATGCATTGGGTTTAATATGATGAATCGAATATGATTGTGATTTATAAAACATAAAATCCCCCCCTCCCTTTTTTTTGGGTCATTTAGTGGCAAACTTTTAAAACTGTAAACACGTTTATGCAGGGCGCTTCATGTCACTTTTTTTCCTTGTATATATAAACCATTATTGCCAGTTTTCCACCAAAATCTTGTGTTTGGCTTGGCCATTGTACAGCACTATTGGTGTTTTACACTACAATTATATTTGTTTAGATCTAGTGTCCTGATTGATAACACGTCTGTATTATTAATATTCACTCTGCATGAATATTTTTAAATTATAAATTAATTACTGGTATAAAGGCACAGCTTCATTAATATTTACTCATAACACGCCATTTTTAGTTGCAAGAGGATCCGTCATTTCTTCGTGACAAATCCTCAATCATCACCCAAAGTTTGAAATAATTTTTTCCATTTTGTGCATGTAGTCAAGGAATGAATGAGGACATTGCACTGGGAATATCGCTTGTTTTAAATTCCTCCCTTCATGTACCCCCATTGCAAGATTCCTACTACTTATTGGTGTAATATGTTTTTTGTTATATATAACTTTTAAAAAATGTTTTGAGCTGTGTTCATTGTAAACTTATGTAGCCAATAGACCAAATTTATTGATTTGAAACTTCAAATTGCAGTACAAATGCAGACGATCAGAAATCTCCAAGCCTTCCACGCTACCATTACATTTCCGTATAATTTGGTGCATGTTAATTGTCTGAATTCCCATACTCTGCACCCAAAATGAATGTGTACATTAGTGTTCAGACTCCAAAAGTCCATCTGATTTGGCAATGATCCAAATGGGAAATCGAGGTCCAACTGTGGCGTTAGTTACAAACCATTCCGTTTTTACTGGGTTAGGTTTTCTAGACAGTTGTGTGGGTTTTCCTCTCCCTAAGACAGAAAAAGTTTAAAAAATGTGTGGTGTTGTATGTAATAAGCCCATTAGCATTATATACAACACTGCAGCTCAATAATTAGAAAAGTTTTAATTAGTGTGCAACACTTGCAAATATTCCATTCTGAGGTACCGTATATCTATCACTGAGTGGATAGAAAGGTAAAGACCTGAAGGGCAGTAGATAAATGTATATAAGAGATTTATTGCAGGTAGAAATTACAGTCATAACAGGGAACCCAGTAGCAGAGCCAAATAACCATAATCACGGTGCCTGCCTTCCCTCCCCGTTTTTTTTTTAATATAACTTTTATAATATTGAGATTAAACACCAACGTAACACGGTGTTCGTGTAGACGTTATAGGCTCAATCTATGAAATGGTGTTATTGTTTTTCTTTCAGCGTGGTTTAATAAGGCAGTCAGATTTTGAAATACATTATAGTTAGTTATTTAAATGTACATGGGGATTTCAGAGCAGACAAGTAACTATGTTCTTCGGTTTGAAACAGCCGACTGGCTCATTAGTAATTTGTTATAACGTACTATATATTGAAATCTATATTATAATCTATTTGTAACTTTGAGCCCAAATTAAATGCCATGATCTACCCTGCTTCAATTTGTGTCTTGATTTGATAAACATAATTTTATGATCACTGCCTAGGTGTTCTCTTTGACTCCGACCTCTCCTTCAAACCTCATGTTCAATCTATCGCCAAATCCTGTCATTTCCATCTCAAAAACATTGCGCGCATCCGCCCCTACTTAACGCCAGATGCGACTAAGGTGTTGGTCCATTCCACTGTCCTTTCTCGCCTTGACTACTGTAATCCGCTTCTGAGTGGTGTTATGTGCTCCCAACTTGCGCCGTTACAGTCCATAATGAATGCGGCAGCGAGGCTCATCTTCCTGTCCGCCCCCACCTGCCATGCCTCACCCTTCTGTTAGTCCCTACATTGGCTTCCTTTAAAATATAGAGCTCAATTTAAAATTCTGGTTCTTGCTTTCAAATCTCTGCATAATGCTGATCCCACATATCTATCTTCCCTTATACACAAGTATGTCCCGTCTAGGCCCTTACAATCTGCTGAAGACTTACGTCTACCTTCTCCCACCTCTGATGCTTCCCTCCTCCGTTAGATGCTCACCCAGTCTCCACTCCTTCAAAAAATCGTTAAAAACCCACTTCTTCATAAAAGCGTATCAATTAAACTGTTAATAGCTCCTGACTGATTCCTCTTCTGCAACTGTCACTAGTCTAATACTATCCTTACCTTTTTGTGTCATTTTACCCCACTCTCTCTAGCATGTAAGCTCATTGAGCAGGGCCCTCAACCCCTCTGTTCCTGTGTGTCCAACTTGTCTGGTTACAACAACATGTCTGTTCGTCCACCCACTGTAAAGCGCTATATAAGTAACATAATAATAATAATGAATAACTTGCTGCACACTTCATATTATTGGTTACATAACCTAAAGAGGATAAATACATTTATATATAACTTTAAAAAATAATGTTACACTTCTCAGTGCTATAAAATAAGATTTTTATTTTCACATAAAAAAGGGATTTTTTATTTTTTTAACGCATCATGGGAGGCATGTTTCCCATGCTGCAGCTCTCTAGGTAAGCCATCCCCACCACATGTGTGTAAACACCATGAACTGAGCCCCACATGTGAGCATTCCATGCCTCACTCCACTGGAGAGCCTCCAGCTTTCTCTGCTGACGTCATCACGCCTTTCTCACGACGGCCACGCCCACCACTTGACATCCTGCCCTCTGATTGGCGCAGGCGTTGACGTCAGGTCTCCTCGCTGCTTTTCATTGGTGTTGACGCGCCACTGCCGCGTTCAGTCCCCTCCCACTTCGCTACTCTAGGACTGTCACCGGCCATTCGTGGGGGTTACAAGAGGAGCTGCGTCACCGGCTGCCGAGTGACAGCGCGCTGGGGGGAGAGCGACGCTACAGCGGCTCCACGGCGGATGTGTCCTACCCGTCCCCGCTAGAGGGGAGCTGGGCTGTGTGTGCCATGTCTTCCACACACCCCCGAGTGAAGCGCAGCTCCGGTTCCCCACCGACCAACGGGTCCGGCGCCAGCCGCCTGCTTCAACCCATCCGGGCTACAGTGCCCTACCAGCTCCTGCACGGCCCCAGCCGCTCCCCGTCAGCCTCGGTGGGGAGCAACACGGAGCCGGGCCCCCACAGCCCCTCCAACGGCACCCCGCCTTCCCCTCTCCTCCCCCAGCCCGAGCCGGCCGCTGTCAGGGTCCGCCGGAGGAGGAGCACCTCCCCGGACAGGAGGAGTGCCGGGTCCCCCGGGAGCAGAGGTGAGAGACTGGAGCTGCCATGTGTGGGCTCAGGACCCCTACACGCCCCCTCCTACAGTGAGCCAGGGTGCAGGGACCGGCCTGTGAGAACCAGTGTGGGGGTCCCCCACCTAGACCCCCCCAAACTACACCAGGCTCAGCTTAGCTCGGCCACACATTAACAAACTGAGCTCAGCTCGGGGTCCATCCTTACACCATGGATTAACACCCCCCCTCCAACCAAGGCTCAGTACAGATCCCCCCCCTCAACCAGTAAGGCTCAGTACAGGCCCACTCCCCCAACCAAGGCTCGTGCGTTCCTCCAACCAAGGCTCCAGGTACAGACCCCCACTCCAACCAAGGCTCAGTACAGATCCCCCCCCACTCCAGCCAAGGCTCGGTACAGATCCCCACTCGGTACAGACCAAAGGCTCAGTACAGACCCCCCACTCCAACCAAGGCTCAGTACAGACCCCCACCCAGTACAGACCCCCGCTCCAAAAGGCTCCAGTACAGGGCCCCACTCAACTCAGTACAGACCGGTACAGACCCCCACTCCAACCAAGGCTCAGTACAGACCCCCACTCCAGCAAGGCTCAGTCAGTACAGACCCCCCACTCCAACCAAGGCTCAGTACAGACCCCCACTCCAACCACTCCAGGGCTCAGTACAGACCCCCACTCCAACCAAGGCTCACAGGTACAGACCCCCCCACTCCAACCAAGGCTCAGTACAGACCCCCACTCCCAAGGCTCAGTACAGACCCCCACTCCCAGCCAAGGCTCGAGTACAGACCCCACTCCAGCCAAGGCTCAGTGTGACCCCCGCTCCCTAGCCAAGGCTCGAGCCACAGACCCCCACTCCAGCCAAGGCTCAGTACAAGGCCTGGGCCCCAGACCCCCACTTCCAACTCGAGGCAGTACAGACCCCCCCCACTCCAACCAAGGCTCCAGTACAGAGTGCTCCAGACCCACCCCAACCCCCCACTTCCAGTACCAAGGCTCAGTACAGACCCCCACTCCAACCGGGCTCAACCAAACCAAGGCTCAGTACAGTACAGACCCCCACTCCAACCCGGCTCAGTACAGACCCCCACTCAACCAAGGCTCAGTACAGACCCCCACCCCCACTCCAACCAAGGCTCACAGACCCCCACCCCACCAGAGGCCCAGACCCCCCACTCAACCAAGGCTCAGTACAGACCCCCCACTCCAACCAAGGCTCCAGTACAGATCCCCAGGGCTCAGTACAGATCCCCCACTGTGACCAAAGCTCAGTACCAAGATCCCCACTCCAGCCAGGCTCAGTACAGATCCCCCCACTCCAACCAAGGCTCGGTACAGATCCCCCCACTCACTCCAGATCCCCCCACTCCCAGATCCCCCACCTCCAACCAAGGCTCAGTACAGATCCCCCTCCAACCAAGTGCTCAGTACAGATCAACCACTCCAACCAAGGCTCGGATCCCCACTCCAAATCCAAGGCTCAGTACAGATCCCCATTTCCAAATCTCCCCCACTCCAGCCAAGGCTCGAAGTTTTACAGATCCCCCCCTGCAACCAAGGCTCAGTACAGATCCCCCCACTCCAACCAAGGCTCAGTACTCCAGCAAGATCCCCCCCCACTCCAGCTTAGGCTCCAACCAAGGCTCAGTACAGATCCCCACTCAACCAAGGCTCAGTACAGAGGTCCAGATCCCCCCCACTCCAACCCAGGCTCAGTACAGATCCCCCCACTCCAAGTACAGGTCCCCACTCCAGGCTCCAGGTACAGATCCCCCCAACCAAGGCTCAGTACAGATCCCCACTCCAACCGGGCTCAGTACAGATCCCCCCACTCCAACCAGGCTCAGTACAGATCCCCCACTCCAAACCAAGGCTCAGTACAGATCCCCACTCACTTCAGTACGGCTCCCCTCCCCCTACAGATCCTCTCCCTCCCTCCCAGTTCAACCAGGCTCAGTACAGCCCCCCACTCACTTCAACCAAGGTTCAGTACAGATCCCCCGCCAGTACAGATCCCCTCCACTCCCCCCACTCACTCCAACCAAGGCTCAGTACAGACCCCCCCTCACTCCAACCAGTCCTGTGCATCCCCTCCATCCCATAATGAATTGTAGTAGGGGTGCTTTTTATCTGTGGAGGCTTTAATATACCTCCCCAGCCCCCATAATGAGGTCAGCTCACAGGGTGCGTTTAGAAACCTGCAGGGAAGACTCAGGAATTTGTTAGCTGGGCCTAAGCAGAACATATGCGATTTCTAGTCCAGTGCACCATCTGCTTTTTGAGTTCTTTTCACCTTTACATAATATTTGCACTCAGATTTCTATACAATATATAATGGGGGCATTCCTGTATGTGGATAAAGTCATAGTTGTATATTAAAAAATAACCCACAGCTAATGCCCTTTTAGAGATTATACATTCTTCAGCGTCTGAAGTCTCTTCTAGTGACCTAGAGCATGTACGCAGTTTAATCCACTAAATTTAGAATTGTAAAGGAAATGGCAACGGAATTGCATATTTTAGGCCTTAAGAGCCAGATTTAAAGACTTGTTCAAACCACCAATATTTTAATTTCTGCTGTATTTGGCATACAAATTTGCTATACAAATTTGCTTAAAATATACTAAACACCATAGTGGAGTTATTCCCTAACCCATGAATTTATGAACTAGTGACTCACACTAGACCGATCCATGCATAACAATATTACACGTATTTTTAGTGGGCCCGTCCATCTCAGTGTTTACCCAGTGCATGCCCCGGGTATCCGTTTATGATGGTGGACTGTCTGGTGGCCTGCCTTATATGTAGAACATATCACTTGTTTGTTTTTCATTACTGAAAGAAAACACAATTCTCTCTTGAGATGCAAAAAGTACTTCAAAATATAATGGATCTCATGGGTTCTGATATATATCATGAGCGATGTGCGTGGAACTACTTATTTCAAATTTAAGCAAATCTATATATACTTGTGGTAAACATGCTGCTTTTTTTTTTTTGCGGTTTGGAAATCCAAGGTTTACGTTCAATTTGAGTAGTTCTAGGATATATCACAGATGTATTAATATACAGCATTTGTTGTAAAATTACTTGCGCAGACTTGCGTTGTTTTTCAACATTAGGAATTTTAAAGAGAAATAGTAATTTGATGAACTTGCAAGGAATGTTTGCATTTTAGTAATTTCTGTGTAGGAAGATCCTTATTAAGTACATTTTCCTATGCTAGTTTATTAATTGTGTAAAATGCAATAGTTTTTTGACTTGTATAGTAGTCTTAACATATGGTATAACTTCATACCATGTGCATGTGAGTTGTTAGTATGAAAAAAAAATTAATTTTGTTTTAATCTATAAACGAAGAGCCTTTTTAAAGTGTAAAAAGTCCATCTCTCTCCTTTTTTGTGCTTCAGTATTTTCAGTTTGTGCTAATACATTTACACTCTACTGTTGTGAAACACTTTAGCTCAGCAAGGTAAATTGGTCATGCGATTTAGCACTCTCTGTACTAGGCCGCAATGTAGCGTTTGCTATAATGCTCTCAGAGGTTTTTAATTGCCTAACTGTGAAAGGGTTAATTTCTCCCAGGATTACTAGAGTTTGGAGTTAGACTTGCATTGCGATCACAATCAACACGACAAGCCGGCACACCCACTTTCCACAACAAAATCGGTTCTCTAAAAAATAAAAATGCTTGCAGAAAACCTGCTTTGGCTTATGCAGTTGTCTATGAAATGTTGTCCCCTATATTACTTCTGGTGCTGCTGATTTTACATAATACGATAGTGTGAAATCCTGTCTTCTGTACATACACCTTTCTAGTCTCTTCTTTTGTTGTCCTTCAAGCAGTTACTATGTAAGTGTTGATGTTTTGTTTTGTGGTTGTAACTGTGATCGTGTGCATAGTGCTATAAGTTCTTGAATAGTTAGGTTTGCATTATAGCAGTTCGAAAGATTTTTTTTTATTGTAATTTTTTTTAGTATCGTTATGACTTTTTCTGGTGCCGGGCTGACACTGGTTTCCATTTAAAGAAATAAGTGCCCTTTGTGATGTTGTTTTTGCTTAACCTATTCAGTTTAATTTATTTGTGGCAAATAACACCAGTTTATTATGAGAACATTAATACATGCTGAGGTCTCCTAAATGGGGGGCGTGGCAACACTAATTGGGTGGCGGTTAAATGCAGTTTGTCTATTAACCTAATATTTCTAATTCATTTTTGTCTTTAACCAATTGTAGAACAAAGGGGTGCTTTGTCAAAAGCTCATGTTTCCAGTGGCATTTTCTTAATGAAAGTGATCTAGGCTTGCTGGTTGAAACACTTACCAGCTTTTTCCTGGACTTAAGAAATATCTTGGCCATGCAGGAATGTGGGGGTGAGTTCCCATGGATTGTACCGAAGCTATGTGCACCTAACCTGTTACAAAACCATTGGGACCTAATACAATACCAAACACCGGTATATAAATACAATTTAATACCAAAGATGTAAGAGGTTATAACTTGACTGTTCCTTAAAACATGAAAAACAGAATCTTTCAGTTTGAGAAAGAAACTAAATCGGTCATTCAGCCCCTTTGATTAGACATGCCTTTATTATTTTCTGACCTGCTTTTAAAAATAAATAGAAAATAAAAATATAATATATATATATATATATATAAAAAAAAATTTTTATGGTCAAAACACTAGTTTATGTGGTCATGACACTGTGCATTTTGTATAACTGTTTTGTTAAAATTGATTCGGAATTGGTGTTAATTGGCAAGGAAATTTAATTACAGGCACTTATTTAGGAAACCGTGGCGTGCTGGCTAAGTCAGTCTGGGGCTATTAACGTCTGACGTAATTGGGTCTATATACTGGCAGTATATAAATGTAAATCTTTGTATAATGATACTGTTCCTTGCTGCTTCGGCTAGCATTGCATACATGTATATTTATCTTTTTTATTGCTATCCAGATTTGTCTAAGGGGCTAAAAAAAAAAGGTCTAGCCTGCTCATGCTTGCTTTGTGTCATTAAGATAGCTACCCTGTGATGTGGTATTATTGGTTATTGTCGATATTTTGTAATGCTCTTAGCGCTTTTTTTTTATATAAAGAGACAGATTTGCACAGTGTATTAAAACTCCTTCCCTGACGGCCTCCTTGTCAGCAGATGGGCAAGGAGGGCCATGAGGTGACACAAGTAAGCAGATACTCTTTCATCATCTGTGCATAATCCAGAAAGACGTTCTGCCCTGGCAAATGTTAGTGGCTTCGGACTGAATTCAGAGCAGGCCTATGCGTTTATCCAGATTGTGGCTGCACAAAGCAGTATAAAGTTGCAGAGCATATTTAAACAAAAAATAAATCTGCACTTTTTTTTTTCTTTTTCAATTAGTGGTGCAAATTGGCTTATTTAATGATACGTATTTTATTTTTAAATCTCTCTCCAAAGTGTATTTAGACAGCTGATATTTTCATTTGTTTGTCAGCCTTGAAGCATCTGTTGTCGTCATCTTTTCTATTCCAAATCTTTTATCTCCACTGCATTGTCATTTCTTGCAATAATGTAGAGGAAGCCATATTCGGCAAGTAAAAAAACCATGGTTTGTTTTATTTATTCCTCCCCCACCCCCTCCTATTTATATTTTTGTTTAAGATAAACAAATCTCTTTTGCAACTTGCCTAAGTTGTTAATATTTTTTTTTTTTTTTTTACGTTTTATAGTTTAACATTATATTAAAATAGTGTGCAAGCAACATCAAAGATTACACTTTGGTCATCAAAAAAGAACCGCTTATTGTAGTAATTCTGGTGAGTATAGTCAGTCCCTGCATGTGTTTTCATGTGAACACTGACTTTTCAGAGATTTGTTTCTGCCTAGGGATACCTCCAGTGGCAGTTACTCAGACGTCCACTAGTGGCTTATGCAGCACTGATGTTCCAAGTCTCCACGCTCTGCCTGGAGGCACTGAACATTCCTCCTAGAGATGCATTGATTCAGTGCATCTCTATGATAAGGTGTTGAGTGGCCAGCGTGCGCGAGCCTAATGTGCTTGCAGAGTTTGCGCATGTTGGTATTTCTAACACTTTAGTATCCCTTTTAATAGCCATCACAGAAAACAAAATTGCCAGATAGAATCACAGTGAGAAGACGCTGGATGTCCATAGGAAAGCATTGAAAAATGCTCTCCTATGGGTAGTTTTAATGCGCGCGCAGCTCTTGCTGCGCATGTGCATTCGGCGTTGGCGTCTGCAGAGGGAGGAGAGTTCCCCAGTGCCGAGGGAGCCCGGTGCTGGTTTATGGTAAGTGGCTGAAGGGGTTTTAACCCCCTTCAGCCCAGTGGGAGTGGGACCCTGAGGGTGCGGGGGACCTATAATACCAGGAAAACGAGTTTGTCTTCCTCCCACTATAGTGGTCCTTTAATCTGAAACCTAATTCCCATCCTAAAAAGAATCATAAACCCATCTTAAATATAAACCGAATACTAAAACTAATATTGCTTCTAAGCCTAATCTTAATTCCTAATTTTAATTCCCAATCCCAAAGGTTACCTGACCTGATATTGACTGTTGGAATTTCATTGTTCTTACAACCCAGTCAAGAGCTATACGGAGTCTCTCCTTTGTCTCAGTATTTTCCATAAGCTTGACTCTTCTAGACACTGGGCAGAGCTACTGCTGTCTAGCAGTTCAATCCCACAGCAGTCACCAGTTACGCCGGCAGAGCATGGAGAATCCAGGGAGCTGGGGTGGATCCTTTCCTTGGGGTCCAGTGGACCTGCTATGATCCTGTATTCTCCAAGCTATTCTCTGTTGTGCTCTGTTTAGTGATGCCGGGACAAGAGTGACGTCCTCTCCCAGTGTAGCATATCCCCCATGATAGGCTGAACACCGAAGGCCCAGTAACACTCGAGTTGCATAAATTCATATATGCTATAAGGTCAAGTTCTATATTTTATTGCAAATTCTGGTGAAACTATCTTTATTTAATATATATAATTATTTTTTATTTTATCTATTTTTATTTTTTGTATTTCTACATTTACTTGCATGTTAATATTTAGCAGTTTTGTTCTTTTCTGTTGATATTTTGATATGCTACAATTTGCTAGTGTCATGGACCCGGCTTGCCGCGAGGTGTGGTCGCACTAGACCGGTGCAGCCCCACTGACGGACTGAGCTTACATGTTCAGCGGCGAGTCGGGAGCTGCCTGCCCTGATTAAAGATGGCGCCGACACTGCGGTCACAGCCATAAATAGTTCAGGGTCATATGAACATGCGTGTGACGTTGACACAGACGCACGTTCTTGGCTAAGAGGTCACCCTCTGACCAGTCAGTCAAAGGTAGGATATTTAAATCCCTGAAGTTCCCTGGTTATTTGCCCTGTCGTGGTTTCCGTTCCTGGTTCCCGAGAGTGCATTTTCTTGTCCTGTTTTTGATATTCCCGGTATTTTGACCTTGGCTATTCCTGACTATTCTGATTTCTGGTTTCCTTGACTTGGCTTGTTTAACGGTATTGTATATTTCTGGCTTCCTGGACATCGGCTATCCCTTAACCATTCTGTCTTTAACGAATTAGTCTGACTATTCTAAGGACAGGTTTACGTTCTATAATTTTCTGTTCTGTCTATGTAGATGTTACATAGTTCTGCTTGCTGGACCACACCAGCAGTTGTGACCGCTAGCAATGCTTTAAAAGATTACCAAATGTAACGGTTATAATTTTGAGTGTATCATAGTCCCTATGCTTTTCTCTATTAAAAGAGAACTGGCGCACTGTCAATTTCTGCACATGTGCCGTATTGCTGCTATGCATTGTTTTAGTTGGAGATCATTATTCCCATAAGAAAGCATTAGGAGGCTAGTGCGCATGCGCGGCAAAGAGCAGTGCTTGCAGAATCAGATGGTCTTGATTTTGGTGGAAATAAACATGGTTGTGCCTGGAGAATGGGAGTGTTTTCAGCTGCAAGGATAAATTGGTGAGGGTGCATGAAGTGGTCTGAGTGCCTATAGAGTTAATTTAAAATGCTACATGCAGTCTCCCAAGTAGATTACTGTATGAGTATTTGGTGTGGTGTTTAATTTATTTTTCTTCTATGTTGCATACATGCCTTTATGCACACTTTACATTGCACACATAACCAAAGCTAAAATACATATGGCGGCATAAGCCTAGACATGTCACTGATTTTCAGCAGAGTTTAACATCTTATTTTTCTAACTTTTTTTTTATTTCGTTAAATCTGGTATTTTATTTTTCAAAATTGCAAATGTTTTCACTCACTACAACTTGCTGTTAAAGGACCACTATAGGCACCCAGACCACTTCAGCTTAATTAAGTGGTCTGGGTGCTAGGTCCCTCTACGATTTAACCCTTTCTGGCTATGTTTACAAATGGGTTAATCCAGCCTTTAGTGGCTGTCTCATTGACAGCAGCTAGAGGCACTTCCGTGCTTCTCACTGTAACTTTCAGTGAGAAGACGCCAGCGTCCATAGGAAAGCATTGAGAATGCTTTCCTATGAGACTGCTGGCTGAATGCGCGCATTCAACCGATGATGGCAGAAGGAGGAGGTTCACCAGCGTCGAGGGAGCCCGGCGCTGGAAAAAAGGGTAAGGGATTAATCCCTTCCTCACCCAAAAGCCCAGGGTGAGGGGGACTCAAGGACCCTACAGAGCTAGGAAAACGAGTGTGTTTTCCTGGCACTATAGTGGTCCTTTAAGTAAGTAGGCTACTTTTTTTTTTTTTTTTTTTTAATTTATTTTATTTGACATTGAATGCAAATATTTGTTTTAAGATTGCTTAGCTGAAGTTCGCTTACCGCAAACCTTTTATTTATTTAAAAATTTTTTGTCATCGTATTTGGTCCTTTTGTATGGTTTTATGTTGCCTGATAGTCCTGCTTCCCAGTAGATTGTCCTTGTGGTCTGGTATGAGAAGTGTAGTACAGTGTGCGGTTAGATTGCTGGACAATTTTATTTTGTTTTGGTATATTTAAAGCAACTCTGTGGATGCATCCATTTCTGGCTGTTAAACAATACATCCATCTTCAAATTTTTATTTTATTTTTTTATATATTTTACACGTTGTATGACTGTACCTGCATGCATTAACAATGGAATTTTCCCTTTTGTAAGGAATATATATTAAAAAATAAAAAAAATACCAGATTTTCCCAGATTAGTTCTGGGATGGCTTTTCCTTTATAGCAATTAAATTCGTCTCTAGGAGAGCACTATTCTATGTGTCTAAGGTGGGTTTCTTATTCACCTTCTTTTTTGTGGTTTTTTTTTTTGCAACTTTTACCTTAGCTAAATACTTTTGTCAGGTTTTGCACCAGAGTGATGAGGCTGATCTTGGTGGAAGGACCAGCCATATTTAATGATCTGTTATTTAGCACAATGGTAGAGTGAGAATTATATGTGCATCTGTATAAAGTATGTAAATTGAAACCATCTCATCCTACCACCCACCCTTTCTTCTTCCATTCTTCATATCAAATAGTAATTATTAATTACATTATGTCTTTCAGCATTTAATTATATTTCATGTAGGCATTTGGGATTAACAAATATATTTCCAGAGCCCACTCTGATACAGATTTTCTGTCGCCTTTTGGCCTGATTGCCTATATTCTGTACTTTTTAAAGTTTTAAAAAGTGCAACACAATTTTACAAAATATGCCTTTAGTTGAGTTCCTTATATGGGGACACACAGGGAGGGGTGATGTGAGGGAGCAACATGACATTTAATTGGCTGACAGCTGGAGTTTCTGGATGTTGAAAAGGCTGCGTGCAGTAAATTGGGAAGGTGAATAAATTATCGGTACATTTACAATGCTTTCCTATGGACGCTGGCATCTTCTCACTGTGATTTTCACAGTGAGAAGCACGCAAGCACCTCTAGCGGCTGTCAATGAGACAGCCACTAGAGGATTTGGAGGCTGGATTAACCCATTTATAAACATAGCAGTTTCTCTGAAACTGCTATGTTTGTATAAAAAAAGGGGTTAATCCTAGAGGGACCTGGCACCCAGACCACTTCATTAAGCTGAAGTGGTCTGGGTGCCTAGAGTGGTCCTTTAACAAAGGGTAAACGTATTTGGTCCCTTCCTAAAATATCTTTAAGTAAAAAAGGCAGCATATGTTTGTTAGACATTTTTCCTGCCTCTCTGTATCAAGTGTAATAGCGATTAAACGCGCTTACAATTTCAATTCAAAATAGATGTTAGCAGTTTTAGCACTATATGGGTACTCCTATTATTCCCCAAAAATTGAACAGTGAACAACACAGTGATTTTTCAGGGTTTAGGTGTTATCCCTCTCCATTACATGGAAAACAACTGTGTAAAGTGCAGCGCTAATGGAAAAGATGTATGTAGACAAGCATAGACAAGTCAAAGCTTACCCATAGGTTAATACAGCATGGGTAGTTGCGTATACATAAAAGGGGACAGAAAAAAATATATAATAGTGAAATATTGTTTGGGTGAATATCACAGAAAAATGATTATCGGAAATGCTCACTACTCATAAAGAGTAGGCTGCACTAAGGCATGAGAGCAATATTTAAGTGTAGAGTTTCCAAAGTCTCCCTTTCCATCATCTGCCAATACTGTTGAATTTGTGGGCATGTTCACCATTTATGGTACATCGTACCCTTTTCCTGGATGCAATAACAGCATGTATTTGACACCCTCGGGTAGATGTTGGCGAACTGTGCTGGCACCATGTACTCCCTGTATTGGTTCTTACACATGAGTTCCAAGTGTGACGTACATTTAGATCTACCTTTGTGTGCCATAAAGACGTGTTTTCATTGTTCCTCCGTGAAGGTTTTGCATATGTTTGCCTGCCAACGCAAGGCGTATTTGTCTAGTGAATGTGTCGTGGGGTTGTTAAGTATGGTATAGATATATGAGAGTAGTTTTTTGGGTATAACTGATGACTATCTTCTCAAGATACACTGTCTTCTGTAGGGGAAGGGGGGTAAGTTCTGTCGAGCGAACTAGCAGGGATTTCAGCTGCAGGTAGGAGAACAGCATATTGGACGATAGATTATATTGAAGTTGGAGATCAGGAAACTGCATTTATACATTGTGGTTGTATAGGTGACGTATGTGTGCATCCTCCTCTCAGTCACAGGCGGTAATCAAATGTGTGAGATAAGATAGGGGTAGCCAGCGCCCAATCTCTAGGGTAGCTCAGGACAGATTTGAACATGTCACATGTTTTGAGTGAAAGTGATGTAGTGCTTGGCATGTTGGAGGTCTGAAGTCTTAGTTTGTATGAGATCCAGTACAGGTGTTTAATGCCTCTGGAGCAAGAACTTGTAGACTCCATCTCCACCCACTGAGGATGGCTGCTCTGTAATATAATCTTATATTTGGCATGCCTAGGCCTCAGTTTTCTAGGGATCTGTTTTGCATTTTCGTGACCACGCGCACTCTGCGGTTGGAGTTTTATTTTTAATATTTTATTTATACATAGATTTGCGTTGTGTGTATAAATATAGGGTCTCAGAAGAAAGACCTTAAAATGATGTATGGTATGTATGATGTGATATTAAAATTAAATCAGTCAACCATACACGTAATCTCGGAAATTTTTTATTTAATAAAGATATGTAAATATGCAACTTTTTTTTTTTTGTCTTTAACTGCAAACAAATTTTTCTGCCACTATCAGACTTTATGTTTTTCCTTTTTGTTTAGTTTTATGTATAAAAGATATTCATTAAATTGCAACTGTGCATTCTTTCAAACAAAAAAATAAATAAAAAAATATTATCGGTAATATCGGTAAATTTAAAGGCAGATTTAAACCGTTATACAGCATATCTGCTCTAATAATTGGCAGAGCCAATAATCTGTCTAACCTCAGTAGGCATGCTTTCACTTTATTGGGGACTTATGGCATTGTTCTGTGACTACTAAATGTACATCAAGGCTCAAAATGTCCACTTGCCCACTGTTTATTTGAAGAAATGAACTCCTGGTCTGTGTGCCACGAATCCTCGGAGTGTGGCGAGTAACTGGTATGCCTTGTCTAGTAGTGTAGGACTTTACATTTAGAGCCTTATGTACATAAGAGTGCTGTATGTGTGGTGGTAAGATTTGGTTGGCTAGTTATGGGTGCTATTTAGGCCTATCTTTGTTGATTTATGATTGGTGATAAATGGCAACCACGATAGATGTAGTGACTATGTGCTGTATGACATGCGTGCTACTTGAATCACACTTAAAGCACCATTTCAGTAAGTGCGTGCAGTCCTGGTGACTTGAAGCGTGAGTCAGACTCCTGTGGTCAGACTAACTATGTCAAACCATGAACATTTAACTTTTACTTTCTTTAATTGAAACTATCCCTTCCACCCCCCTAAATCATAGCAGATAGATATTGATGTTTTAACGGGATATGAATGCGTGACTGTTTTTATTGTGCTAATACATTTCTGATGTAAAAATAAGGCTGCAATTAATGTCTGGAAGGTCTGATCAGCTTTGTGTATAGAAGAACTGACTCTTTTCGGTTCCATGATTTACTTTTACTAAGAATAGGGTATTGAATTTTTTATTTTTTTTAGGCAAGCATAAAACACACTTGCCTTGGCAGTACTTCTAATGCTCCTAAGTTGTGCTGGCAAGTGCTCGTATCAATTCCTTTTGCCTCCCTTGCTAAACTAATCACCTCTTGTGGCTTCCAATATCACTTCTATGTAGATGACACATTAATCTGTCTTTTCCTGATCTCCTTTGATTAGTGTTTCAGACTGCCTCCCTGTTAGTTCTAACTGGATGGTTGCTCGCTTCGTCCAAAACAGAACTTCTTTCCTCTCCCAGATATTGCTACTCCTGTGTCTGTCTCCCTTCAAGTTAAAGAAAAAATACTATCCGCTCTACTTCACAGGCTCGCTGCAGGTTTCCTCTTTTGACTCCAAACTCTACTTCACTCCTCATGTCTAGCCAACTGCCAAATCCTGCTGCTTCTATCTCAAAAACATAGCTCTCATCCACCCCTACCCCAGATTCGGCTAAGATGCTAGTCAATTCTGCCATCTTCTCCTGTCTTCACTTTGCCAATCTGCTTCTCACTGGTTTTGAGCATTACCAGTTTGCCCTGCTACTGTCTAATGAATGCTACACCAAGATCATCTTTGTCATCCTACATCTCTCTCCCTCTCTGTCTTTACATTGGCTTTCTATAAAAGATTGGGCTCAATTTAAAATTCCGGTGCTTGCTTAGAAATCTCTACATAACACTGCTCCTACCTATCCTCGCAAATACACAAGTATGTCTGGTCCATGCCCCTGCACTCTGCCAAAGAACTGCATTTATCCTCTCTCTGTATTAAACTCTGACTGCCACCTTCAAGATTTCTCTAGGGCACACTGATCATATAGAACACATTTTCCTGCTCTGCTACACTCTCACCCAGTCTCCAATCAAAACATTGCTTAATTTCCAATCAGATGTTAACTTCCTTTAGAAGTTCTATCTCCCGCTCTGTAAATTTAACTTTTATAACATACTGGAGGCTCCTGTAAGGCTTAGTATGCCATTAAAGGGACACTATAGTCATCAAAACAACTTTAGCTTAATGAAGCTGTTTTGGTGTATAGAATATGTCCCTGCAGCTTCACTGCTCAATTTTCTGCCATTTAGGAGTTAAATCACTTTGTTTATGAACCCTAGTCACACCTCCCTGCACAGCCTTCCTAAACACTTCCTGTAAAGAGTCATCTAATGTTTACACTTTATTGCAAGTTCTGTTTAATTTAGATTTTTTTTTAATTTTTATCCCCTGCTATGTTAATAGCTTGCTAGACCTGCATGAAAACAAAATGGTTTAATTTTCAATCAGATGTAACTTGCTTTGAAAGTTTTTATCTCCTGCTCTGTAATTTGAACTTGAATTACATACAATATGCTCCTGCACGATCTAGCAAGCTGTGCAGGATATGACTTTAGATGATTCTTTACAGGAAGTGTTTAGGAAGGCTGTGTAAGTAACATGCAGGGAGGTATGCCTAAGGCTGCATAAACAAAGTGATTTATCTCCTAAATGGCAGAGAATAGAGCAGTGAGACTGCACGGGCATGATCTACACACCAAAACTGCTTCATTAGGCTAAAGTTGTTTTGGTGACTATAGTGTCCCTTTAACCTGCATTGCGTCCTTTCCTTGTCTTGACATCCAGGAGAAAAAAATTATTAACTATTCTAGTTTTTTTCCATGCATGTGGGGGAAAAAAAAACCTTGTTCTCTTTACTTTACCCAACTCCTCCTAGAATGTAAGCTTGTTTGAGCAAGGCCCACAACATCAGTTGCAATTTGTATGCCTAGGCTGGAAAGGATGCAGATGGGGGGGGGGGAATTTTTGTTTTTTGTTGTGTATGTATATTTCTCAAGTGGCTATTTAAAAAAAAATAAAAAAAAATTGTTTTTCTTTATTTTTAATAAAAAAAAATTTTTCCCGCATAATTGCATGGTGTACAAATTAAAACAGTGTTTTGTTGGTGTATGGTCTATAGATAAACTCATACTGCTGCCTGACTTTGAAGGCACCCTATTAACATTTGAGATAATGGTAGGAAAAAACTAGTGTGTGCTGATGGACAAGCTGGAACACATCAGCATGGGCAGCTGCAGCAACACAAGCTGCTTTGCCCCCGCAAAGCCTGAATGAATACAGAGCAACGTGACTGTGCTGACAAACACCATAACAGCAATCATTGCACTGCCATCTGTTTTGTTGACACAATCTGTGTTCATTACTCTAGTTTCATATCCTTTTGGGAAACCAATTAAGCTAGAGGTGAAGGTAGGCTGTTGACCTGAAAACATTTATCTTTAAAGGGACACTCCAGGCATCCAGACCACTTCTGCCCTTCTCCCACCACCCTTAACAATGCAAGTGTAATTATTGCTGTTTTTATAAACTGCAATAATTACTTTGCCAGGTTAAGTCCTCCTCTAGTGGCTGTCTATCAGACAGCCACTAGACGGACTTCCGTGTTCACGAAAAGTGTTTTTAAATGACGCTGGACGTCCCCACGCAATGCATGAGTACCTCCAGCGTCACCAGAATCCCCAAAGGAAAGCATTAAATAATGCTTTCCTATAGGGAGCTCTAATGTGCACGTGAGGCCATTGCTGCGTATGCACATTAGGTCTCCCCCGCCGGCTGATGTTGGCAGGGGAGGAGCATGGGCGGAGCCTGACCCAGTGCAGAGGGAAATCAGCGCTAGATTCATGTAAGTCACTGAATGGGTTTTAACTAATTTCAGCAACATGGGATGGGGGGTGGGAGGGAAGGGGGAACTGGAGAATCCCTTTAAGGAATGCTTATTTTTCTTTTTTTGGTCTATCATTAACCAGGTAAAATTACCTAAGTAGATTTTTTTTGTAAACGTATATCACATCTTGTATACTTTGTGTAACATACTTCACATTGTCCTATTTAAATGGAACGATTAGTCTGAGATTCACCCCCATATTAATGCATGAAAAAAAATGCAAAAGTAAAATACGTATCTTTTTAAATTTCTTAGAGCTGCTGCACTTGCACAGCTAAGTGCCAGCAGGTGGATGACTCCGTCTCGGCTAGAATTAAATTCACCGCTCATTCTGGCTTGAAGAGTTTGCTGTATTTTCCTGCTAACATTGTATAGGGTTCTAGGTCAGACTGTATGGTTCTAATTCAGATTTGGTGTCTAAGTACATAGTCCCTCACCAACTATTTTTAAGTTTATATTTATATAGAACTACATGTGTGGATGAGTGTACATATTAAACCTGTATGTAACTGATTTACCTCCACTATCATTGTTACTCAGTAACATAGGGGTAAAGACTGAAAAACTAGCTTCGTGTTGCATGTAAACAGCCAATATCAGGAATCGTTTGCAGTGATTTTTGCTTCAAAATAAATTGGCAAACCATTCTAATTCCTGTGCAAAGATTTTTGCTGAATTGAGACAAGGAACCTTCTGTAACGGTTGATTTCATCATCTGTCAGGTAATGGTGAAATACAAGAGTGTTTGGCAGCCTTCCCTGCAGGAGGTGTGTCCACATTAATTAAAGCGGTCAAAGCTGGTATGGAAGCTGATAACACAGAACAACACCCAATGGGGAGATCTTGTTTCTGAGAACTCAGTTCAGGCAAAGGAGCCTTCTGGTATACCCGGTTTTCGAAGCATCAACTGCTCGGTTGTTCTAAATTAAAACCATAACATTCCACTCAAAAGTTCTTTCAAACAGATTCTATTTCATATCTCCAGTTCAGAAGAAATTCCTTTTGTATGTTTTATAAACAGGTGCAGCTATGGGCAGGGAGTTGGCTACCATTGGGAAAACAATTTTTAATTGTACTTATTTTGATAACTCTATATTTTATGTAGAATTGCTTGTTTTAAATTTATTTTTTTGAAGTTGAAACCTTGCATGTCCCTCTACTGCAAACACATCATTGTATTCTGATACTGTTCTGGAGTACAATGATACCCCACATGTATGCCTTTTACCCTAATCCCACCTCTCAAGGGATGCCCTTTGCCTACACTGTAATTGCAGCCTGAGAGGGAGAGCTCACCATCATGTTTCAGCACACGGAGATCCGCCCTGGGGAGCTGTGGAATATAAAAGACAAAAGTGCAAAAATATTAGTATGTGCTGCATCAAAAGTGCACGTTCCAAAAAAGTGGTGGTTCTAAATACCTATAACCTTATCCTAAATCTCATTCATCGTAACGATAACATTTTAGAAGTATGAATAAATTATCTTTGGTAGGAGACTTATGAGAGAGACTACTGTTACATTTCACAGACCAGAATGAGAAACATCTGGTCAAGCTATTTCTTGATCAGGGCAGAGGTCAGGGCTGAAGATATAAAAAATGCTGAAACTTATACAGGATTATTCACCGAAGTGGGAATTCAAAGGGAATTTCATATTTAAAGGCACCCAGACCACTTCAGCCCATTGCCAACTCCCATCACCCTTAACACTGCAAGTGTAATTTATTGCAGTTTTAATAAACTGCAATAATTACTTTGCAGGGTTAAGTCCCCCTCTAGTGGCTGTCTCAGACAACCACTAGAGGGACTAACTGGTTCTTAGACGACTGTCGGTCGTCTAAACGATGCTGGATGTCTTCACTCTATGCATGAGGACTTCCAGCATCACCGGAATCTCCATAGGAAAGCATTGCCGCACATGCACATTAGGCTCCCTTGCAGGGGTGGAGCATGGGCACAGCCTGACCCAGTCCTGAGGGACATCGGGGCTGGTTTCAGGTAAGTGACTGAAGGGGTTTTAACCCCTTCAGCGATGTGGAGCGGGATGGAGGGAGGCACTCCAGGATTCTAAAGTGCCAGGAAAACTGGTTTGTTTTCTTGGCACTATAGAATCCCATTAAAGGACCACTATAGTGCCAGGGAAACATACTTGTTTTCCTGGCACTATAGTGCCCTGAGGGTGCCCCAACCCTCAGGTTCCCCCTCCCACCAGTTTCTCTGAAACTGCTATGTATATAAAAAAAAAGGGAGGGGGGGGGGGGGGTTAACCCTAGCTGGACCAGGCACCCAGACCACTTCATTAAGCTGAAGTGGTCTGGGTCCCTATAGTGGTCCTTTAAGGTCAAATTAAGTCTAAGTAAGCTAAGCTTTCAGCTGCTCTGGCCCTAATTGTGAACTTCTTTATGAATTCTCTTTAGAATTTCCAGTTTGAGTAATTTTGATATTGCCTCCTAAAAATTAACAAATAAGGCCTATATTTTTTTTTTTCTTCTCTTCTTTCAATCGTCCTTCTGCTGGACGACTGTGTCGGAGCACATGGGCCTCCGTTAGCCGGCAACCATATGCAGCAAGAAACTCACAGAAGTCCACTGATATTCAGAACTCTGACACTCGTATCGGGACTCTGCTTCAACTTCACAAAAGACTTGGACCACCAGACTCTGCAGCCATGGAGCCCAGCTTGTCCTTTCTTGTGAAGGGAGTTTCTGACTCATTACCAACTCCCACCACCCTGGTGGAGAGCTGGGTGCCCTAATTGCGGAGTTGGATATGCGGAATCTACCATCAGACATTGTCGTTATTTTAAGCTGACATTGCTATGGTTAAAGTGGAGGTGCAGCTGTCACAGGCAGAGTTAAAGTAACAGAGGCATATGTTCTGTTGCTGCATTTGAGACTTGATTACAATCCAATATTAATTTGCTCCACTTTAATCCCAGCACAAGGAGATGGCCCCAACATTACCCTTTTGACATAATGTTAAGGTTGGAGGGATCTTTGGTGCAAGAGGACTTCACAACCCAATGCGCAACAAACTGTGATGCACTATATGTTCGGACACTTTTCTATCATTGCCAGCATTCTAGAATTTGTTATTTTTTTTTATTTTTTATTTTTATTTTTTTAGAGCTACAGTAGCTAGTCTGTGTGATCAGATCTCACTTTTTTCTCTCTACGTTTAACGTTTAATATTAAACTGTTGAATGGTCTTACCAGAAACTGAATCAGATACTCCAGACACAATAACAATTGGATTGAGTACCATACCTAATAGAAATAAAAATATTCAAAGAAAAATGAACTTATCATGAACAATAAGTCAACAGAGGTTAGAGGGTACTTTCACTGGTTTAAATGTAAGATACCGGCTGCGGTTACTTCACTGTGCACTGGGATATCTCTCTCCTCCCTGTCTCTCGTGCTCTGGTGTGCAGCCGTCCTACTGTCCGCATGTGAAAACACAATCTCCCTCTCCTTCTCCCCTCACGGTTTAGTTGATCTACCCCTACACTTTAGTTGCTGCAAGGTGATTTCTGCTGCAGTCAGATTGTTTACCTTTAGATTGGCTAGTTTGTTGCAATACACATATTGAGCTGTTTATTTATTTATTTTTTTAAATCTTCCAGCATTGGTTTTAGTAGGTCAGCTTTAGTCAGTTTGGGTATGTTCTATTGAAATTTTATTTTATTCTTTTTAATTAAAAAAAAAAAAAAAATTTCGTCTTACGCCAGCACATACCATATTCTCTGTTTTGATATTCTGACCAAAATCGCACTGACCTGGTGTGTAGCAGCCCATGTTTATGATCAGTTTTTTTTTTTTTTTGTGTGTGTTTATTCTGCTTTAACAGGTGGAAGTAGCTCAGTTGGTAAACTGCAAGGTCACGGGTTCAAATCCCAGCAGGGTCAACTCAGCACTTCATCCTTCCGAGGTTGATAAAATGAGTACCATCAATTGGGTGATGATAACTATTACTATTCAGCTGCCGACTTGGTTAATTCCGAGAGCATGCACTGAAAAGCGCTTTGAGTCCCACTGGGAGAAAGGCGCTATATAAATACTAGTTATTATATTAACAGTATGTACCTTATACTAATGTAATGAGATGAATTGCTGTTTGTTAGATAAATACTATCTCTAACGCCTGTTGACAATATTGTACTGGTGCTGGCTTTAATTTTGATTTTATTTTTTCAGATTTTTATGTAGCTATTTACTAAACTATAGTTTTTGTTTTTTTCGAAATTTGTTTATATTTGTTCTTAGATTGTTTTACCATTTTCATTTCACAGTGGAAAGATCAAATTCACAACACCTAAGAGCATCCCATACAATAAGACGAACTTCTTCCTTGGATACCATAACTGGACAATATCTGACTGGACACTGGCCCCGAGATCCCCACGTGCTCTACACTTGTATGAATGATAAATCTACCCAGGTACTATTTATTTTTAATAAAAACTCACTTGCTGTATGTGCCATTTCAAAGATTGACATGCATCGTAACTCTATATGGCGTATCCCTCCATTTTCCCAGTGCCGTTGAAACCATTCAGATACCACCAGGTATGTTTTAACAATAATATATTTGCTGATTTAGTACTAGTGATTTCTCATTATAGGGAGTGAGCTCTGCCTTTGGTAAGGGTGTTTGTTATATCTATGGTCTTACAGTTTTACAATGGTTTGCGATCTCGCCAGGGTCACTGATGGCGTGCATCTAGCTTCTACAGAGCTGCTGAAGGCATATCCTGCCGTTCATATATTGTCTGAGAACATAAGCTGATTGCTCACAGCCAATGAATAAGCATCCTTACATTGACTTGTATAGGCTGGCTAATATTGTGTTAATCGATTTTAAAATAAACATTTGCTTTTGGAAAGCATTTGTCGTTTTTTTTTTTTTTCTCTATTTTTGTTGTGCACGAAAGAGCATACGCATGTTTACAATGCCATAATAGCATTCACAGGCAGTTTGGAAACCATTATTAGTTAGCAGTTACACAGCATTCTGAGTATCGCACAATTTTTGGGGTTTATAAAACAAGCTAAATACAAGCTGGATAGTTACAGGCTTAGAGCATTAAGACATGCAGTGTTTCTTAGTATAAGGGAAAGCATTTGTACTTTACATCATTTTGTCATACATGCCTATAACTTCTTCACGGTAGCGTTTGTGTGATATATTTATAGCTGTATTTTGTGCACATGCACAAAGTCCTAAAGCAAAATCCCTACACACAATTTATGCGCAATATGTACAACCCACCCACATATACACACCAAGTTTAGTGTGCCAAGGTTGGTTTACTTGGTGCAGCTAATGCTTAAAAAAAAATATATAAATAAATAAAGGAGGGGAGGGGGGGGGAGAGAGAGAAGTACAATCCACTAATTTGTGGCCAGGTAACTTTGTTTAAAAAAAAAAAAAAAATTTGCATGTTTTTTCCCTCCTTTATTTAAAGTGCCAGCTGTATGCCTGGCACTATAGCTCCCTTCCCTGACCCAGCAGTGAATAGCGTTAAAATCAATCTCTCCCTCGGCAAAATGCATGCACAAAAATGACAAAGGACTAATATTTCAGTGACAATTTAAACAACCTATCAAACACGTCTGGAAAACCATAAATAGCATACAAACCCCCTCAATCCACTCCCAACCATCCACTGTCAAAATGGACAACCAAACACTGCAACACCCCTAGATGTAGCAAATACCTTTTAAATAATTATTTTGTTGGATGTGCTACCACCCTGGTTGCTAAGATAACAAATTACACATTTTCAGACTGCAAATAAAGATCAGGCCCTGCCCAATCTTCAAAATCCTCATAAGGAGAAATTCAATTTTAGACCTGTGCCTGTTAGTGTCGTTAAAAAGCATCTTTAAAAATTAAAAACCAGTGTGGACCTGATCTAATCCCAGCAATGTTGCTGAAGCTCGGTGCGTCAGCAATTGCTAAACCTGTCACTACCCTAATCAATGAATCTCTGGTGTCAGGATACATACCCAAACTTTGGAAGACTGCAATAGTTGTAACTATCCATAAAAGTGGTGACAATACTTTGGTATCTTACCATCGCCCGATATCATTGCCCCCTGTATTGTAAAAAATCTTGGAAAAATGCATTCACGCGCAACTATGTTAATATTATCTGACCCATGATCAATCAGGCTTTTGTCCAAATCACTCAACTTGGACTGCCCTCTTAGGTTTTCAATGACATTCAAATTGGCATTGAACAAGGAGACTTAACTGGAGGTATTTTCCTTGATTTTGCCAAGGATGTTTACACAGACCATGGCATTCTTTTGCAAAAACTTACACTTAGGCGTTGGTGGTCATCCGCTAACCTGGTTTCAATCGTATGTTTCAGACCAATTGCAAATATGTGGCCATTTCTGATAGCGCTTCCCTCCCTCTTCCAGTCACGTGTGGTGTTCCCCAAGGCTCCATACTCTGCCCCCTGCTTTTCAAATGATTTATAAATGATCTGCCTAACATCTGCAAATCCTCAACTGTACACATGTATGCAGACTACACTGTAATCTACGCTAGTAAACCCAAGCTACTGCAGCTTGAGGCTGTGCTCCAAAACCAATTCGTAGAGGTAGAAAAGTGGATAGCTGATAACTCTCTTCCTAAACACTGACAAAACCGTTACAATAATCTTTGGAACTTTACCTAAATTACATAAACTACAAAATCAACAATTGTGTATCAGGACAAATTCAAATAGCACACTGACAGCAGTCTGCTCTTTTAAATATCTAGGTATGCTGGTCATTGATTATGGGGATGTAGTGTATGCACCCGCACCGCAAACTCACCTTAATAAACTTAATACGTTATTTAATTCATTCAGCCGCTTTGTACTAGAATGTAATTACTTTACCCACAACTGTGACATGTTAAAAGAGCTAAACTGGCTGACGCTGGAATCCCGACGCACTCTTAATCTTTCCAGCCTTGTGCATAAGAGCATTTCTTGGAAGCTCCCACCCTGCCTGAGTAGAATGCTCTCCCCGGCTGTTCCCACCTCCTATAACCTCAGATTCAGTACTAGCACGATATTTAGCATACTGTAATACAAAAATAAAGTGGTTCGAACTATGGTAATATACCTCAGCACAGAATGCACCTGTCATGGTTGAATATATTTTTTTACCCTAATCACACCTCTCTGCATGTGACACAGCCTTCCTAAACACTTCCTGCAAAGGGTCATTTAATGTTTACACTTCCTTTGTTTCAAATTATGTTGTGTTAATTTCTTCTTAGACCCTACAGGGCCCTTCTGTATATAATTAAAGTTCAATTTACAGAACAGAAGAAAAAATATTTTAAAGTAACATCTGATTGAAAATTAAACATTTTAGTTTTCATGAAGGCTCTGAGTCACCGCCATGGAGATGTTGCTAGGGCTGCATAAACGGAAAAATTTTATTTAATGCCTAAATGGCAGAGCGACTTCAGAGGGATTATCGATACTCAAACTGCATCATTAAGCTTGCGTTGTTTTGATCCCTTTAAAATGAAAGTTGGCTTTTCTGAAGATGAGCTTGAATTGCAGATAAAGATCCATTCACAAATGAATGGTTTAACAGAGGAAATTTGTGATAGATTTTATTTTTTTATTTTTAGATAAGCTAAAATGACATTTTAACGGTCAGTAGACTGCAAAGTGAATTTAAACACTTGGCTACACATAGCTTGAGACCTGCGTGTCTCTTCACACTCTACACGATTTTGGAACCTGCAAGTGGCACATTGTAGTCTATGAAAACCATACGATAAAAATATATTTACACAATCTGAACACGGAAGACCTTGTTCTTGTCCCATTCTCTAGTAAAACACTCGGGAGCTTAAAGGGACACTATAGTCGCCCACACCACTTCATCACAATGAATTGGAGAGGTCCTGTTTTTAACCCCAGCAATGTAAAACCGTTATATTTAAAAAAAAAAAAAAAAAAAAATATTTTAACTGCATGGTTTAACCCCTTAACGCTGTTCTATGCTGTCCCCATTTTAATGGGCTTTAAAGCCGTTACGGCAGCATAGAACGCCTTAATGGCTTTGAGCCCCTGCGACCTCCTACTAACCTCCTCTGCGATCCTCTTCTGGGGGTCTGCCTGACAGCCCAGGCCGTCCCTACTCTGCAACTTAAGCCCCTGGGGGCCATGTGATCGCTCTTTCAGCTGCCTGTAGGGGGACTGCCTCACTGACAGGCAGTCCCCCTGCTGGTCAGGAAATATAAAACAAATGTTAATACAACAATCAGAGTAAAAAAATAAATGAAATACACTTATGGAATATATATAATTTTAATTTCAAAATACACGTATTATGGAGATATAATATAGTGTGTGTGTGTGTGTTTTTTAATAAAATTATAAATACGTTAAAAATAAAGTTAAAAAGTGTGTGTGTGTGTGTGTATATACACTTTTTAAAAACTTTTTTTTTATTTGTAACGTATTTTAATTTTATTAAAATATAGTGTGTGTGTGTGTGTGTGTGTGTGTGTATATATATATATAATGTGTATAGAATTTCATTCTAACAGTGTTTTCATATATAGTTATAAAAATACACTTAGAATTAAATTTTATATATAGATGTAATTACATAAATATAAATTCTATGTGTATATTTATGTACTCTTAAAATAATTAAGTCATTTTATTATAATTTTGAGGGACCAGGCAGCAAGTCCAGAGAATTTAATTTGTCCTATGTTTATACTTGTAACTTTCCATAAAACCTGGAAATGGGGAATTCTTCGACTTGGGAGAACACAAATCTGTTATAAAACGGTAAAACTTATCACGACGATGATATCACAAGTAAAAGTGCTGTATTTGTGTAAATTAAATAAATTCAAAAACCAAATATGAACTCTAACTTTGGATAGCATTTGTGACTAAGTGGTTACTAAAAACCACTGAGCATACTCCATTGTGAATACCCTGGGTTGTCTACCTTTTCAATTGGTATGCCATGGTGGGGTTAATTTTCATTTCTGGACTGCCATACCGTCTCAAAGGCAGCATGGCCAATCTAGCAAATTTTAATTGGCAAATCTTATATTGGAACCTGTACATGAGGGGTACTGTTGTACTCGTGAAACCTTACTCTACACGAATGTATTAGAGCAATAAAATGTATAATACTGATCATCAGTGAAAGGGCAGTTTATTTGTGAAAACTGCAAAAAAACAAAACCAATATAAACGCTAAATTTGGCCAGGGTATGTGACTGGCTACTAAAAAAGATTGGACCCCATTTTGGAAACCCTGGCTTGTCTACTTTTACATATGGTAAACCTGGATGTGGTTAATTTTCATTCCTGGGTTATCATTCGGTCTCAAAGGCAACATAGGCCCAGCAAACCAATCTGGCAAATTTCAATAGAAATGTGGAAAGCCCTATATTTGACCCCTGTAAGTTTCCAAAAACTCATAAAACCTGTACATTGGGGGTTACTGTGGTACTCGTGAGACATTGCTGAATACAAATATGTGTATTTTATTGCAGTAAAAGCAAACCGTATTCTGACATTTGCAGTTAAAATGTTAAGCAGAACTTGAAAAATAAAATTTTCTTAATTTCTCATACTTTTTTAGATTTTATTAACATTCAGTTATGTTTCATATATAAATATTTGATATGAAATGAAAGCCCTGTTTCTCCTGAACAAAATGATATATAATAAGTGTGGGTGCACTTAATATGAAAGAGGGGAATTACCGTTGAACAGACATGTAGCGCAAATGCCAGGTTTTGTTTACGTTTTGATTTTGATCACAATGTGTACAATTGGCTCTGTCCTTCAGGGGTTAAATTGCAGGGTTAAACCCACCTCTAGTGACTTACTGATATTAAAGCTGTCACATGATACAGAAGCACATAGGAAAACATTTAATACAATGCTTTCCTATGGGGAAGCTTAAATGTGCAGCGCTTGCTAAGAGAAGGACAAACAAATGCGGAGGAAGCCATCCCTCCTGCGTGACTTCATCAGACTCGGTGAGGTGAACAGCAGAGAGGTTGCGGGAAAAAGGTAAACTTTTATTTCACTGTTTATGGCACGGGGCTTGTGATTGTAGCAAAAATCGGAATAATAATTATTTTTATTTTTTTTCTAATTGCTGGGGAACAGAAGCAAACCAAGCGAACACGACGACAGCATTTCCTCCTAGAGTTCTGTTGAGACCAACAGTCTCAATTCCTATTCTATACAAAATTGTTAATAAAGGATTAAAGCAAAACACATATATTTATGTGAAAGGTTTTCCACTTACTACCTTTTTCAGAATTGGACAAATTTCTGTACTCTTAAAGTACTTGCTATGGTACACACCTCATTCCTTTAAAAGGCAGAAAAAGTAAGTAATACTCCCTATTCACTAATCCGCTCTCACCCAAGAGGGCTATGGCAAAACTTGAATGACTGAGAAAAGCATAAGAACCTTCTAAGTAGTTCTTGTGTCTTCTGTTACAGTGAAGAGTGACTGGACACTCTGAACTACCATTCAGTTTGACGGGAGCTGTGCTGGGCATTAAAGCCAGCATGTTGGCATCATGGAGAAAGTGTGCCCTGCTTGACAAAGCTTTCCAAATCAAATACCCGGAGTTTCCCTTTAATTGTGAACATATTGCTGGGAACAACTGTAATATTTACTTGTAAGCACAGGTCTTTAAATCACGTTACTCTTGTTAAGAGTTGTTAATGCGACTATCCGGTTGCTGTTATTTTTTCCTAGAATGTTAATTTAAGATCCTTTGAGAGAGGGCTTGGTTACATAGTGTGATGGAAAGTATTTTTCATCAAGTTGTTTTCAGATGCATTGCTTAACAGTTGTAATTGGCAAAGCCAACACGCGGCATAGTTACTCAACAGCTAACTGTGCCAGTGGACACCACATAAGTAATGAAAATTCAAAATATTCTGCTATGGCCATCTATGAAGCCTTCAGCAGGATAGTCTAACCATGCATGGATCAGAAACTATGATCTTAAGAAGTGGTGTGGAGCCTTATAGGGGCACTCTAAGCACCAATAATCCGAGGTTCATGAAATGCTTTAGATACATGGATTATGCCCCTGCTACATTGTGCCATTTAGAATTTTGATCACTTTATTTGTTCAGCCTTAACCTCACCTCCCAGACTTTGACTCGCACAGCCTCCATACACACTTCCTGGAAAAAGTCAGTTTTTTTTTTTTTCCTTCACCCTTATTGCACTTTGTGTCATTTTAGACACGCTCTTGTTCTGTTAAAGGAAGACCTTTTAGGCACGCAGGCTACTTCAGCTCACTGAAGTGCAGTGTCGGAGTCCCCCTTAGTCCTGCGTATGGGATGGTGTGTGTGTTTTTGTTTACATTTCAGTACCAAGACCGCCACTAGTGATTGTCTAAGATTTAGGCACTTCCGGGAGTTTACCAGACTCTGGTCGGGCTAAAGTTTAATATTTCATCTAAACGGTTTCAGAGATTATATACATTTTATCTAATTTTTTTATTTTATTATTTTTTTGATAGGCCTGCCAAACTCCAACAATAACAAAGTTTGTGTGTATATTTTGCTTATTGTGCAAGTGCTTGCTGAAACCTGTGGGCCCTTTTGACATGTGGCATATGGCAACTCGCTGAAAATTTCTTCTATTGTATAAAGCATAGAAAGGAAAGGTCACTGAAGTGCATAAATAGTTTATAAAAATATTCTAATGCTGCCATAAACCACATAGCCACCACCGTGCTTCTTCGTATATCTGGATTCCCAGAGGACAAACTGCTCCAGAGCGGAAATGGTTATTGTGGAGGCACACTAATGCAACCCAAACTTATTGTGAAGTGCAGAGAAAGAACAATGAATATGTTTATGCGCCTTCGCTCTTTATCAACGTGTATTGTGTGTGTTTGTGTGTATGTAATAGGTGTGTGTGTATATATGTATGTATGTGTGTGTGTATATATGTATGGATAGAGATATGTGTGTGTATATATTTATATTAGGAATGGCCTACACAGTGATATGCCAGAAGTGCATCATTCCCCATTGTTGCAAATTTGGGTTGCACTAGTCAACCAGCAATATCCTTTTGTATTTCTGGAGTACTTTGTTTCCCACTGTACCAAATTTCAGACTTTATTGCCCAGCAATGTTTTGTTTATTTTTATATTTTATAGTAAATGCAGAGGGCGGGGGAGGCGGATACATTTAACACCAACAAAGGTAGCCGCTGTGCTAGTTTAAAGGGACACTTTAGTCACCAGAACAACTACATCTTATGTAGCCCTGGTGTCTACTGGCTGTTTCTGCAGACTTTTTAATGTAAACACCACAATACTGCTTAGGAACACCTCTTGTGGCAGTCAATAAGATAGCCACTAGAGGTGCTTCATGTGTCAGTGCTGCAGCACACTGTGCAGCAGTGATGTTTAACGTTTCTACGCTCTGCATGGAGACGCTGAACTCTCCACATAGAGATGCATTGATTCAGTGAATCTCTATGAAAAGGTGCTGTTTGGCGCAGTGAGGCATTTTGATACGCATGCGCAGTAGCCTTCCAAAGTTTACCTGTGGGGAAAGCGTTGGATTGGCTAAAATCTATAAATTTGATCTCTGGACAGGGGCGGAGCCAGCTGCATCAAGACCAGTGTTTTTCTGGAAAAAAGGGGTAAACTTATTTTAAAAGAATGGCAAGAGGACAGCAACCTAAATGTGTTTTTACAATTAGTGTCAGGAATACAGGTTGTTCCTTTAAGCTCACTAATTACTACAGTTTGCTGTTGTGATTTCAAAGAGGGATGGAACTGAGAATACATGTGAAAGGGGAACTTACTTTTATATCTCTAGCTATCTAGTTATATCTGAAGGGCTGGGTGTGGGCTCTTGGGAGAACCAGCTGAGTGTCGAGACACTTGAAAAAATGGTTTGGCTACCTGTTTTTCCAGAGGTGCTAGTTCACTCCTGGCTTCATAACCTCTGTGGTTATGATGCTTAGACTGTCCATTTAAAATAGGCACATGTAAATTGTTGCTATAAATCAAAACATACACTGTATTACTCATGTGACAGAATGTGGCAGTAGTCAGATTTGCAATCCAGGTTACTTAGCCTATGCTTTAAATGTAATTTGTATGTAGTAAAATTGCAATGGTCTTATTTGTATTTTATTTTTTCTATACATGAACAAAATAGTCATAAAATTATTGACTAAACCTAGCAAAGCGTGACACTTTACTTGGCGATTTATTTAATGCAATTTGGCAAACTACAGGGAAGTAACTTTAAACTTTTCCTTTCATTTAGACACCTAGCTGCTGGGGCGAAGAAGGCACAGAGAAGAAAAGCGCACATCAACGCTCTGCTTCTTGGGGTAGTGCAGATCAACTCAAAGAGGTATTTGTTTTTTTTCTTCTTGTCTTTAACATTTTCATTTTACTGCATTAAAAACGTCAAAGAATTGATTGTCTGGTAATTTTACAGGCATTTGATTTGTTCTGCGCAGGTTAAAAAAAAAAAAAAAAATTTAAATCCTTTATAGCCCCACCTCCCCTGGGAAATGCAAACTCTTCTGAAACACGTGAATTTCAACATATTCATTTTAAACTATATTTCCACCCCATTACACCACTGAGCGAGAGGGATATCTTGAAGTATTTGGCATGTACACCTGACAGTGTGGAATTGGTAGACCGTCCTCTGGATTTTTTAAAAGTGGTCAAATACTGTAATACCCTTTTTTTTTTTTTTTTTAAGTTTTATTTGCATAAAAGAAACGTGTTTGCGTCATTATACATAATTTTTAAACTTTTCCTGCATTTTAAATGTTTCAGGCCAGGCGTTATTAAAATACTGCTTAACCCAAATCTGTCACCAAGAATAGGAATAATGCTATGTGAATAAAAACACAGGTTGCAAATTACTACGTGTCTCTGTACACCCCCGTTGTTTTAGAATTCTCGCCAGTAGCTCTACACCCACTCTTGATAACCTAGTCATCATTGCTGCTCAAGTTCTGGCACATTACAACTGGATCCACAGTTTCCTAAGAATAGAGATAGAATTTATTATGGGAACTTCACTAGGGTTGTTTTTGATTTGTGCTTAAGTGTTTATTTTTCTTTTTAAATTATTTATTTATATATATTTTTTTTTTCAAAAAGAGAGCATATAAAACCAAAAGGAGATTTGGCATATCTTGCTGGTAAACTAATATCGCTGAGTCTTAAAGGGACACTATAGACACCCAGACAACTTCATCTCATTGAATTGGTGTGGGTGCAGTGTCCCTGTCCCACTTAGACCTACAGTGTAAATCTTTGCAGAGAAACTGCAATAATAACATTGCAGTACGAAGACTTCCTCCAGTGGCTGTGTATCAGACAGGCACTAGAGGCACTACTGGGACTCTTAAGTGAGTCCCGGAATCTTTAACTCTTTAAGGACCAAACTTCTGGAATAAAAGGGAATCATGACATGTCACACATGTCATGTGTCCTTAAGGGGTTAAGGACTCATGACATGTGTGACATGTCATGATTCTTTATTCCAGAAGTTTGGTCCTTAAGGTGTTAAATGGTAAATTTGATTTTATACTTTCCTATAAGGAGAGCATAATGTGCTCACAAGGTCTCCTGTCAGCGGAGGGAGAGTTTCACCCCAGTACCGAGGGATATCGGCGCTGGAATCTGGTGAGTTACGGTGTGGTTTCTTTTTCTTTTCTTTTTTTTTTTTTTTTTTTATCCTTTATCTGCCGGAGAGTGGGGGACCAGAGGGCACTATAGCGTTGGGAATAACTCTATACAGGGTGGCCCATATGTCCCTACCCATCCATATATCTTATGTATCCAGTGTATCTGTGTGCTGGATGGGTAGGGACTTATGGGCCACCCTGTAGAATACTTTTAACTCTCCTGCATGTGGGGGGAGTACAAAACAGGGCTATGGAAAAACCTGTAAGATCAGGCAGAATCTTCCACAGACCTTTTCACATAATGAGTGACAGATGATGGCATATGGTAATGCAAGCAGTTCAATGAGGCTCTGCATTTTGCCCTTTTCTAAAACGTATGCATAGAAACATAGAATGTGACGGCAGATAAGAACCATTCGTCCCATCTAGTCTGCCCAATTTTTTAACTACTTTTAATTAGTCCCTGGCCTTATCTTAAGTCTAGGATAACTAGATAATAAAATGGTTTGAGATTTCTAAAAGAAAAGAGAAACCTCTATTTAGGGTATAAATAATAGCACAGCTACAAAAAGACAACTCGACTGGAAAAAATAGAGGCTCCACTAACAGGTCTCTAATGATGCAAATTTGAGAGAAAAGTTATTAAATAAAAATTTAATTAAATATCCAGGAGTGGTATGTAGCTTTAAACTAATAATGCTTCAAAAACTTGATAAAAGAAAAATGGAACATTAACATCCAATTGTAGCTTCTTCTGTAAAAGAAACTTGGGTTAGTGAATTCCAATGTATAACAGTCTATGACTTGTAATATTGGTAACTGGCTGTTGTTACTCTGTATGTGTAAGCTAATTCAGTTAACTCCAGTTATGGGTGAACTGGTATTTGAATACTGGATTAGTTCATTAATATAATACAATATGAACAGTTTATATGGTCCTTATAACTGAAATATTGTATCTATTGCCACATTGTTAGTGATAGCTAACAAACTGTATTTAGTGACTTACAGTTTAAATAACACTTTACTCCTAGTAATAGGAAATAAAGTTAAAAGTCCAAGTGCTAATGTAAATAATTTATTAATGAATAAAATAGTTTAAAAGAAAAATAAGAACGATCCACTCACATTATGTCAAATGCATACTGGATACTTTTGCAGGGGAATAAAATATGCAGCTGAAGAAAAATAGATGTGTTGTCCGATCACCGCTTGATGAATGGATCGGCAATGTTTCTAGCCGCGTGCGTGTCACCCGGTTTCCCTCCTGCGTTCCAGCTAGAAGTCGGCAGTATTTCGGTGAATGCCGAAAAGCAATGTGGTGTCGTTCTAGGTGTCGTCCTAACGCGTTTCGTGAGTGTTCTCTCACTTCATCAGAGGAACTCTCTGAAGTTACCAATATTACAAGTCATAGACTGTTATACATTGGAATTCACTAATCCAAGTTTCTTTTACAGAAGAAGCTACAATTGGATGTTAATGTTCCATTTTTCTTTTATCAAGTTTTTGAAGCATTATTAGTTTAAAGCTACATACCACTCCTGGATATTTTATTAAATTTTTATTTAATAACTTTTCTCTTAAGTCTAGGATAACCTTATGCCTATTCCATGCATGCTTAAACTCCTTTACTGTGTTAACCTCTACCACTTCAGCTGGAAGGCTATTCCATGCATCCACTACCCTCTCAGTAAAGTAATACTTCCTGATATTATTTTTAAACCTTTGGCCCTCTAATTTAAGACTGTTCTCTTGTTGTGGTAGTCCTTATTTGTCTAGTGTATATCTTGCGCTTGCATTTTAAATTCACTTATATTCCAACACAATATACCGTAAGTAAGTTTCTAACAGATGACCGTGCCTAAGGGCTAAAGTTAGACCTACTAACACAGAAATAAAGTCTTTTGGTTTTCAAACTAAAAGGACCTTCCTAAGCAAAATGGCCTTTACACATCATTGCAAGGATTATAGTGTAAAGTGTCTTAGGGCTCCGTCCCCCAGTATGGCAGGTGGTTTTTTTTTTTTTTTCTTTTTGGGGGGGGGGTTTGCAGTATGATAAACTAGGAGCCTTCTTTTAGCAAAGGTCCACCCCCCCTTTAGTAAAGGTTGTATAGTGCATAAATGAGAGGGTCTGTTTAGGGGTCTGAAGTTAAATGAGATTGCTAGTTGAGCGCCTGTGTAGGAGACACTTTGTATAGTGTTACCTGGAGCCTTGATTTAACAATTTTGTGCTGAAGTTGTTTGTTTTTTTTTTTTGTTTTTTTTTTTAACTTAGATTGCCAAGCTCCGTCAGCAGCTCCAGCGCACAAAGAACAGCAATCGTCATGTCAAAGAGAAAGATGGTCAGCTGCCTCCTCTCCAGGGTAACCACGCCAGTCATTCCCAGGTAACTACCGTTCTTTCATACTTTTTTAATTCTTGGCCAGTTTAGGATCACCATTGTCAGATTTTTTTTTTGATTTTTTTTTGAAGTCTCAATTTCTTAAAGGAACACACCAAGCACATAACCACTACACTCTGCCATGGTGGTTGTGGGGCTCTGGCATTATCTCAGTGTAAATAGGCAAACTGAGGATTGGGGAAAACAAGGTGCAAGAGGGAACTGAGAAAGAACAGCTCAAATTGCCTGCCCTTTGGTGGGTCCTCGCTCAGATCTCAAGCTAGTTTTAGCTTATCTTTTAACCATTGCAAAAAGCCAGGGCAATTTGCATATCCGACTTAATGAAGATAATATGCGGAGGAGGTCTCCTCTGTTTCCTTGCGCACACTTGCTTATAACTGAAATACACACAAATACAGGTGTACAGGAACCTAGAATGGGAAAAAAACAACCCGTATATTACGCTATAATCAATTTTAAGATTTAATTTTTTTTAAGCAAAAAATTAGCAAGTCATGGTGCATAGTTTCCCATACATCTGCAAGTGTGTACCTTTTAGATTATCCAGATTCATTTATTTTTAATAAAACTAAACTTGATCCAAATTTAAAGCACCACAAGTCAAATTGGAGTTGGTCAGGGCTGTTGCTTTCTTCATGATAAAGTGCAATCAAGATTTTTTTTTTTTTTTTTAATTTATTTGTAGATACAATAAAATTTTATTTTGCTTTAAATTAAAATAAATAATAAAATAACAATTATATGAATACTATCAGGTCTTCGCCAACCTGCACAGTCTCCAGAGATCCCTCATGCAGGTTCTGCATTAAACTTCCCAAGACCTGGACAAGGAAGCACCTCTAGTGGCCGTCTGAGTGACTTCCACTAGAGGTGTTACTAGGCTACAGTATTTACATTGAAAAGACTGCAGGGACTGACTGTAAACACCAGAACTAAAACCTTAAGCTGTAGTTGTCCTGGAGACTAGAGTGTCCCTTTAAGTGTCTGAAGCCTGGCTACGTATCGATAATTTCTCTTCAAAATGCTTTGTACATATGCCACCCAAGGCTGTATATCTAAAACAGTTCCCTTTTTTTTTTTTTTTTTTTTGTGGTTATAATGCTAGTTATGGTAATTTTAACTTTTTGTAGGACCAGAACATTTAGAAAGGATGGAGCTCTATTCAAGCTTCAAAGCTTTGGTTAACTTCTCTTGACCCCAAATATGTGTACTTTCATCCCTCCAGCAATGTGTTATGTCCCCAATAATGTCATCCATGAACTGCTGATGTGCATGATTTTATGCACATACCAAGATATGTTCAAATTATTTGATTTCCAAGCACAGCCATCTTAAAAAGAAATTAAAAAAAAATTAAAAAAAAAAAATTAAAGATGGCGGAGAAGAGTCCCACAGGTACCTGTAATACATCAATAGCAGTAAGTGAAGTCTGTCATGGGTCCAAAAAAGGTTACGGGGTGGCATTAAGTGAAAGGGATGCACTGGTGCGTCAGCTTTTAGTCAACGGATCCATACCATGACAAAGTCTCTTAAAGGAGAGTATTGTCCTTAAATTGTGTGGTCTTTCTTCAAATATTCTTCATTGTCTGTGAATCTGAATCTGTTTATCCAATACACTATTTTTTTTTTTTTTTATAAAGGCTTCATCAGTGTGATGATGGGCTATGTTTTTAGTTAACAAAACATTTTCGGTTTAACAGTTTTCATAGCGAAGTGTGGTTTCCTGCTTTGCAAACAAAACCTCTTGTGTGTGTGTGTGTGTGTGTGAAGTTTGTGTTGGCCTATCATTGTGTAACTGGGTATTTTGCAGACCGCTAAAACATGAAATTCTGATGATCCACACCAAAGGTGAGTGAGATTATGTAAACTGGTTAGGTGAAAGTTAAACATTTCTTGCCTTTTTTTTTCAACAGTTGACCATATGACTGGTTACATTATTTTATTTCATGTAGACAAGTTCCAACTTGTCTGCAGTATTTAAGAATCACTTTGTCCATTGTGTCTACAGTTTTAAATTTGGCAAATGCTACTAACAATTACCATTGTTTTTCTGCTCTCAGAAACCTTGACTTTTAAAACATTATTTATGTTTCAAAACTCTGTTCTTTATCTCAGAAAAATGTGTACTTTTCTGGTTTTGTCCCAGTTCCTGCTCTCTGGTTTGAGTGGTGTGGTGGGGGGGTGTTAATTTGGAAAATTCTGTCTTTCTTAAAAATAACTGAGAAATAATCCGATTTAATTGTACTTCCTCTAATGCTGCTAATTTTTTTTATTTTTTTTATTCCTACTTTTTACTAAACGTTGCTTAGTGTGTGTTCAGGGAGGTGTCCATATAAATATCAACAGTGGTTGGCTGTATCACTGGTCACAAGGTGTTGCTAAAATGGGGAGTTGTGATGGGCAGAAATGGCTACCAATAGTTTCATGCTGCAAAAGTGGTTATATAGACAGTTACTGGTGACTTCTTAAAAAGTATCTTTGCATGCACTCTTAATTACACCAGCACAGTGCATGGATTATCTGTTATCTGCTTCAAGGGGATTGTTGTACTTCACATTTTGTGGTTATTATAAAAATTGCAAATTCCAGCCTTTATAAAAAAAGTGTGTATTTTATTTTATTTTTTTGCCAAAATAAGAATTGTCAAGAGAAAAAAAGTTAAGCTCTTGTAAAAGGCCTGATCTTTTTGCTTGATTCCACTCTATATCTTACTTTGATGTAAATATAAACACAAACCTGTATCCCCGACACTATAGGCCTAAATGCATATTTTAGGTTCCTAGTTCTGGTGACTATAGTGTCCCTTTAATCTTCCCTTTTTAGAATAGGCTACTCATGGAAGTTTATTCACTTGCATACTAAAGATGTGTGTAATTTGAAATGCAAGAGACCCTTAACACGCACCCATCTGTGCTTGGCAAATTGCCCTTTAGTCCAGATCTTATCAATAGCTGTACAGTCACTAGGGGAGCTTTGTGTGTGTGTGTGTGTGTTAAAGTGACGCTAATCTTTGTCTCCTCTGCATTGCTCATTATCTCTCTAATATAGATCTGGATGGATGGACTTTGATTTAGATAGATCTATATCATAAAAAGGTTATGGTGGGGAAAAATTGTAATTTGAAAACCCCTTCCAGCTGATGTCTGTGGATAGTTAATGCAATGTTAAACAAAAATCTGCACACCAGTCAAGCCATAAGACTTACTTTTCCAACAGAAATGACAAATTTGCAGTGATGTTACTACCGCAAAGGATTCTGGGTGGGCACATGCAAATTAGTTTAACAAAGACTCCCATTTTTGCCTCATTACATTTTAAACATGGATTCCTTTTGAGATCTATATAGCCTGCTCTCAACCCCATAGACAATGTTTCCTCAATTTTATTTTAAATGTATCTGGTGGGGTCCCGTTCCAACAGTTGGTAGGTGTTCTGATCTGATAGTTGTCCCCTCATTTTCGTTTGCATAATATGTGTAGTCCATAATCACGATAACTCCACCCTTGACTGCTGAGCGTATGATTGATCATCTGCCAATTCTTTAAAACCGTAAAGGGAAACTCTGGTGCCAGGAAAACAATCCGTTTTCCTGGCACTGCAGGTCCCCTCTCCCTCCCACCCCCAATCCCCGGTTGCTGAAGGGGTGAAAACCCTTTCAGTAACTTACCTGAGACAGCGACTATGTCCCTCGTCGCTGCTTCCTCCTCCTCTGCATTGCGTCGGCCGGTGGGAGATGCTGATCCCGCCTACCGGCCGGGGAGACCTAATGCGCATTAGCATTCCCCATAGGAAAGCATTGAAAATGCATTTCACTGCTTTCCTATGGGGAAATTAGCGACGCTGGAGGTCCTCACACAGCGTGAGGACATCCAGCGACGAAACCAGGAAGTGCCTTTTAGTGGCTTTCTAGTAGACAGCCACTAGAGGAGGAGTTAACCCTGCAATGTAATTATTGCAGTTTATAAAAAAAACTGCAATAATTACACTTGCAGGGTTAAGAGTAGTGGGAGTTGGCACCCAGACCACTCCAATGGGCAGAAGTGGTCTGGGTGCCTGGAGTGTCCCTTTAAGGACGACAGGCGTCCACGCCGTTCTGGCCACTTACCTGCTTGCCGGCGATCCCACACTAGCGATCGGGATGGGGGGACTTACCTTGCATCCCAGGGAGTCCCCCCTGCTGCTCATCTGGCCCTCCTTGGCCATGTGATCGTGAGAACCTCACGATCACATGGGTGGAATAGCCGTCCATAGCAGTGCCAGCAGGGGAGTGCCTGGAATGACAGGTAGTCCTCTGCTGCCTGTAGAAAGTTAAATAAAGGTTAAAACTGTTTTTAAAATAAATACTTAGATTTTATATATATTTATATATCTATCTGTCATTAAAAGTGTGTGTGCGTGTGTGTTCGATCAAATGCGTATCTTGTAATACCTTTTTTATTGGACTAACAGAATTTTTTTTAATGACCAGCTTTCGGGAGAACCTCCCTTTCTCAAGTCTGAAGCATTTCTGAGCAAGACAACACATAGAATTCAAAGTTGAGTTGTGAGTTGAGTTAAAGCGACATGAGTGTAGATAAGACACAGGTTTGTTAGAAAATAGACACCATTTTTGCAGAGGGTCATAAATATCTTTCTGAAGAGCAGAGTGAGGAGGGAGAAGAAAAACATACGCAGACAGTGCAGAGGATGGTACACTCTATACATGCACACGCACATAAATATGTATATGTGAACGCATAAACACATGTACATATACATAAACACACATATATATTCGTGTGTGTGTGTGTGTGTGTGTGTGTGTGTGTATATATAAATTATAATATACAGTAATAAAAGTATGGAAAAGCATAGGTCTACACATAGTACTTTGTACATAGAAAGAATAAACATATAGGAATGCGTTTAAGTGTTGATACATATGACAGAACAGTAAGATAATGTGGGGGAGTGTTCATGTAAAGTGTTGGTAGTGGGACAGGAATCCCAAATCAATATTTAGTCCTCTATTCTTGCTGTTAAACCATTTAATCATTCTGGCTTCAAAAGTTTTTATTTCCTGGGTATTTTTAAAACCCCTTTTCAGTACTTTGATTTTTAGGTCCGTCAGTGAGTATATATAATGTTTGTGAATTACCCCCATGATACCATTTGCAAAAGTAGACAACCCAAGGTATTGCAAACAGGGTATGTCCAGTCATATTTTAGTAGCTGCATAGTAACAAACACTGGCCAAAATTGGCGTTCTATTTAGTTTTTTGCATTTTTCACACACCATATTAATGCTTACTTTGGCCAGTGTTTGACCAAGTGGCTACTAAAAAAGACTGGACATGCCCCATTTGCAATACCTTGGGTTGTCTTCTTTTGCAAATGGTATGCCATCATGGGGGTAATTCTCATTCCTGGGCTACCAATCTGGCAAATTTCAATGTGAAAAGAAACTGAAAAATGTAACGTGCTATATTCCTGTAATTTCCCAAAACGTCATAAAACATGTACATGGGAGGTATTGTTTTACACGTGAGACATCGCTGAATACAAATGTGTATATTATTGCAGTAAAAGCAAACCACATTATGACATTCACAGTTGAAATATCATGCACAACTAAAAAAAATAACATTTCTTAATTTCTCAATTTTTTTTAAATATTTTATTCATATTACATTGTTTCATAGCTAAATATTTGTTAAATGAAAGCCCTATTTCTCCTGAATAAAATGATATATAAGTGTGGGTGCGCTTAATATGAAAGAGGTGAATTACGGTTGAACAGACATATAGTCAAATTCAAAGTTTTGTTTACATTTTATTTTGATCAAAACGTGTACATTTGGCTCAGTCCTTAAGGGGCTAATCTACTATTCTCTAAATTGAACTTTAATCACACACAAGAGGCTCTGGATAGTTCTAGAAGGCTATTAACAGAGCAGGAGATAATAATAATATATTCTAAATTAAACAGAATGTGCAATAAATAGTTTTTTAAACATTGGATCTCTACAGGAAGTGTTTTAGGAGGACTGTGTAGGTCAGACAGGAGGGAGGTGTGACTAGGGCTGTATAAACTAAGTAACGTATCACCTAAAATGAGAATTGTGCAGTGAGACTGCATGATCTATGCACCAAAACTGATTAAATTTCTTTTGGTGCCTATAATGTCCCTTTAATATTGATCCAATAAACAACCATATATTTTATCATTGCAATAGTTGCCCTTTTTTCTGCTTTTTAAAAATATACTCCTCATTTTGGTGTTTTTTGTTCTAAAGTTATCTCTTCAGATTGTCTATCATGTCACAAATGGCGTTGGATACTCTTTTCGGACAGTTCAAGTGTGTTCTGTCAGAATTTGTTCACCTTGAGCTTCAAACTTGTCTCAGTGCAGCTGGTGGCGAAAGGATCTGTACGGAGGCGTATAGAGCCATACACTTGGAATATTGCAAACCATGCTAAAAAAGGAATTGAGGCATTATTCAAGCTTATGAATGTTGAGCCCCCTGGGACAGCAGGTCTTTTAGGCTTTTTTATTTTTTTAATGTATTTTAATTTGTTTACTTTCACTCTGTCTGATCTGTTTTATTTTTAAACTGACAGCTCTGTGTATTTTTCTTATAGTAGCAACCTTGGCATCTGAGGAAAATATGATTAATCATTTGAAAATAAGCCACAGCTTATTTAAATATCTTTGCTACAGATACAAGTCTACCCAAATTCAGTGGAATTTCTGAATGAGATTAAAGAGGTAGTTGTGCAGTAAAGTAAAATAACATGTTTTATAGTCTTCCCAAAATCTTATCAAATATGTCCCATTGTAAGTATGCCAATAATAGCATGAGGCCTTCCAAACAAACCAGGCAGCAAATTAGTAGGATGTCCATGGCAGATTGTGTCTAGACTTGACGTTTAGAATTCTCTGTAGACCACAGCCCTTGAATGGACATATTGCATTGTTTGCACTTAGTTTTTACTCTATTTATTTATTTTTCTCAACCCACTCTTAATTGTTCGTCGTTTCTGCCCTCCATTTGTAAACTGCTTGAAATTGAATACGATTTTTTTTATTTTTTTTATTTTAGGGTTCGCAAAGGGTGCTCGATCGTGGAAAATGTTAAAGATTGTGTGTGCATGCAAATATACATCTCTCTCCTTCATTGCTCATAAATGGTTTAAAACTAAATTGAGATACAGTGCCAAGGGGGTTCAGGCACTATAACCAACTCAATGATATGAAATTATTATAGTGCCCACGGTTTCCCTTTCTTATTAATTTAGACAAGAATTCTAATAGTCACATGCCCATCTAAAGGTCAGGTAGTGTATTAAGCTCTGATCAATAAGGTTCTATGTCTTATGAAATATTTGTATTTGGTTGTGTGAAATAACCACATAAATGGATATGGGATCTGTGTCTTAACAAAAATCACAGATGTGTGTGTTTGTTTCCATAGCTTTGCCATGCAAAACACTATTGTGGGTTTTAAAGTATAGCAAAGCAAGTAGGTGGGTTCCTTGATCTTGGTATTGGTTGCTTGGAATGTACCATTTGTGTATTAAAGTAGACTTTCTAAATTCTAAACCTTGGAAGCTTACTGGGCTCCTGTTCTTGTTCATTTTTATTAAATGTATCTGAACTGTCCACAATTTCCTTTAAAGTGGAAAAGTAACTTTGCATTTTGCTTTTTGTTGCAGACTTCAGTATCCAGATCCATCCCCATGCCCACTGCGAGTATCTCCGTTCCAAAATCTGTAGGTTCAAGAACTCCATGTAATGTTGAAGGAATAAGTCCTGAACTTGAAAAAGTCTTCATTAAGGAATCTAGTGAAAAAGATGATGGAATAAAGGTATGGTCTTAATATACTTATTGGAATACCTGGGGATTTACCTTTTACACGCACCACTAAATTTGCTATAGGAGATTTACAGGAGAATTCATATCTGAAAAAGTGGAATTTGACCCACTTCTACTTAATGAACAGGGTAAATCTAATTAAATATTTTTTATTTATTTTTTTAAATTGGGGATTAAAAAAAAAAAAAATGTTCATCCTTTCGAATCTCTAAATATTTAAAACCTTGCCTGTTTCAGTGCCTCACCACTTCACCAAATTAACATAATTATATCTCACAAATTTTCACACCCAGCAGCACTCATTCCAATATATTTGAAAACGGAGTACGATGTCCAGCAGGGAACAGTGGATTTGGTGGGTCGAGTCCATCAGATCAACAATGGAAGAAATTAATTTCGTCTGCCCTGGGTGCTAGACAAAAAGATATAAAAACAAAAATTGGGATCTCTGGCTATGATGGTTCAAGCTACCTAAAGGCTGATAGCTCTATCTATTAAATGTATTCTATAATATATGACCATTATGACTCGAATTGAACATGTTCCATACTAAACTTCAGACAAAAAATTGCAACTGTTCAAATTTCTCCCCCCCAGGCATATCCTGTCACGTTTGTGTGAAAATGTTTACTTAAAAGCTCCTTATTGCAGAGACCCTCACTGGTAGTCTTGCCATCTTTTGCATCTAATCTTTACCATCACTGTATTAGCAACCCACACTTTCTTACTCTATACATTGTGTATCAGGGCTTAAAATTACAAGGTCTATGCTACTAGTAAGGCTTTTAAGTTACTTGCTGCAATAAGCCTTGTGGGCTCATGGCACACACAACCGGGGTTAATAACCTTTTCAAACAGTATCTGCTAACAGGTGGTAAAAGTGATGCAGCTTTGCAAAGCTATGTATAAACCTTCTCATTGCAGTCCTCAGAAATTCCCGATGGACGTAGAGCACCATTGCCTTCCACTTATCGTAGCAGTAGCACTCGCAGCATTGACACACAGACTCCCTCTGTCCAAGAGAGGAGCAGCAGTTGCAGCAGCAACCATTCTCCTTGTGTTTCCCCTTCTTGTCCCCCGGGGTCACAGGAGGGAAGTCCATGCTCAACAGATGACTTGCTTTACGACCGTGACAAAGGTAAGCTTATACCAGTTGAAATTGCAGCTTTACATTTTTATTTTTATTGTTGTGACGTGTTCAGTGTGTGTGTGTGTGTGTGTGTGTGTGTGTACATTTCTTCTCATTTCATTTACCATGCTTTCTGTTTTGTTCTTACTGCTTACAAACATCTTCCATAAGTTGCTTCCAGAGCAATGTGGTTAATCACTAGACACGGACTTATGTTGAGATGATGTAATATGGACGTTTTATGCATAATGTGGACTTTATATTTCCTGGCTTTTTCCCTCTTCATTCTTATCTTGGTCCAAATAAACAACCTTTCCATGCTTTGTGAATAGCCCTTACTCTTTAGTAAGACTGCAACAGAGCCTTTTACCATGCATCATTGATCGTTTTTGTGGAGGGAATGTCTAGACAGTCTTACAAATTACCTGCTTTTTTGAAAGATGTAGAGCTATTCAAAACATGATTGAATCGGAATGAAGGGGGGTAAAGAAGAAATGGTGATTTTACCTGTCCAAAAGCATTTCGATGCCCTCTGTCAAATGGTTTATGGTCTCCATTGCGAAAGGTTTTAAATCCTTTGCAGCAAGAGCTGTCCAAGTAGCACGAGTTTAACTGAATACATCTTTGGCTTAAAGCTGCTCAGCTCCTGATACACGCTAACAGAATGTAAGCTAAAGCATGCGAGTATAGTCAATGAGCTATAGAGTTCCAGAATCTTTACAAAACTTTTTAATCTAGTTTCCATAGTGGATAAACTGAAGATCCACATGTGATTACGGCATACAAAGCTAAGAATTGGCTGGAGTGGAGTAAATCTTTGCAGCGTTGAGACTCCATTGATTTTCTTGCACATGGACAATTTTGTTTCCATCAGCAATAATGAGCGATGGCTTTTGGAACATGACCGGATGTAATGAGTGCTTCTCTAACCACATCTCAAACATGTATTCCTGGCTCTATAGTATTAAAACCACCATCTAGCCCTCCTGGTCCCATCTTGCCTACTTAAATATGGTAAAATCTTACTTGTATTAAAGTCTGCAGCTCCTGGCTCTGCCCCTGTTTACCTGTGAATTGCCTGTCTGACGTCATCATCAGAAGTGGTGATCTGAGTCAATCACAGTACTTCCCCATAGGATTGGCTGAGACTATCAAGGAGGCAGATGAGGGGCAGAGCCAGCACAAGTAAAACACAGCCCTGTCCAATCAGCATCTCCTCATAGAGATTAATTGCATGCAGACACGGAATTTCCTCACAGAGATGCATTGATTCAGAGGGTGGAGACACTGAATGGCAGTGCTGCTTACTCTGCAGCACTGGCACAGGAAACACCTCTAGCAGCCACCTGAGTGGCCAGTGGAGTTATCACTAGGCTGTAATGTAAACGTTGCATTTTCTCTGAAAATGTCAGCATTTACAGCAAAAAGCCTGAAGGGAATGATTCCACTCAACAGAGCAAATGCAATAAGCTGTAGTTGCTCTGGTGACTATAGTGTCCCTTTAAAATTTGGCAAAATATTTTAAGTCTTTGCTTGTATGTATATCTGCTGATTGTAGTAGAATTATGCAGTCTGTATAAGATTTATTTTCTTCTTCATCATGGTCACTAACCAAATGAAGAACTTCAGTGATAGTGCTGCTTTGTTTTCCATAGTTTGTAACTACCTAATATGTAGTGTCTCTTTCATTGCATCCGAACAGCATTTTTACCAATTTGCGATCTGGACCGAGTCCTCTTACTACAAATAAACTAGCTATAAACCAGTGATTGTATGTGTTCATTCTTTAATATGCTGCAGATGGGGATCTTTATTCTGTGCATAATCTTGGTTTATGCATCACTTTGCAATGAATGTGTTACAAAAATCTTAAATGTAATATGCCTAATTGTGTTTCAGTTTTTAAGCAAATATAGAGTCGGACATAGCAATTGTAAAGCTAGATTCTTTAAGGCCATTAATGCTACCTATTGCAGGGGTCCTCAAACTCCGGCCCCCCCCCCACCCCCCAGATGTTGCTACAACTCCCTTTATTCTTTGAATTACATAGATGGCCAGGGAATCATGGGAGTTGTAGTTCAGCAACATCTGGGGGGGGGGGGGCAGAGTTTGAGGACCCCTGACCTATTGTTTTGTTACACAATTAAGGTGTACAAGCACAAGTCTCCTCTTAGTGGTGGAATATTTGGTCACGTCATGGTTGACTATGGAAGTGCAGCCACACTTAATCACATGCATGTGTGTAGTGCTTATTTTGAGTGCTATAAGGAAGTCATTTATGAGCAATGGGTCATTAAATTTTGCCCTGGATCACTTTGGGTGTGGCTGCTCAAAGCAGCAGGTGGTTCCTTTTTTTTTTCGTTCTTAAAAGCAAAGATTAGCTGGCACGAAAACTGTAATTTTCCATGCGGTCAAGACACTTTAAATCTGCTCTGTCTCCTTTGGAGATTTTACAAAGACTACCTGATGGTGACATTGCTGCATGGAGTGCAGTGGCACAAGGTTGCATCAGAAGTTCTACTTACCTAAAGCTGTCCCCCACGATTGTCACCAATTTCTTTCTTCAGCTTCTTGTTCTTAATCCATCAGGAAATATATTCTTGTGCCAGTCAAATGTGAGCAATATTGAACGCATTCAGCGGCGCCATGCTGTATGTGATGAACCCAAATGTGAAGCCCTGTGAAAATCAAAGATCTTAAATAAATTCCTCTTGTGACTGCCAGGCTGACAGACAGTAGAGGCATGTAGAGACAGTAGATGCATCGTAAACTCTTGTTCGAGAAAAGAGAATGCATCGATGCACCACATCATCAATATTTAAGATGTATCCGCCTTGGTGCCAAGTGTCCCTTTAATGTACTTGTCCTAGTTTAATACGTGTTATCAGTATTGTGGTCAGTAAGTTTTTATGATGCTATTGACATTCAACATTTGCACCATAAACTAAACATTTTCTCCATTGTTACGAACGTCTGAAATAATAACCACAAATGTTTGTGTATTCAGACCAACACCTTAACCAATTTTGTTCCACACCTTGACTGCCGTATCAACAAGACAATTGACAAGCCTAATTGTTGCCACATACTTGTATAGTGTTTCTATTACATTCCGATCTTTGTTTTGTCTTTAGAGAATCCAATATTTGTTCCAACATACACTAAAAGTGTGATTGTAGTCTCCTTGGGATTTGTCCGGTGTAACATGAACTATACATTACAGATTAAAAAAAATAGTGTGTCCCTGGTTGGAGACTTAATATGAATATGTGGTTTCAGTGTGTATGTGCTGAAAATAGTAGCTAAATTAATTTAATCAGGTTATTCATTAAAGTGTAAGTCAAAGTGAATAGCTAATTTTGGAACAAAAATATTCAGTTTAATTATACAGCTGACTGTGGGACACTGGTTATTTTTGCCTAAAATTTGAAATGCACTTTAATTTAAGAATTTATTCTAGCGGAAAACTCAATTATATCTAAATAATCTTGTCTGATTTGGCAGACATTTACATTTTGCGAAGCCTCTGGCAGGAAATGTGTGTGGTTTTTTTTTTTTGTTTTTTTGTTTTTTTTTCAACCCTATGGAACAGTTTGTGGGATCCAAGTCAACTGCTTTAAAATAAAAATGTACAGAGAGAACCTTCATTATAGGGTTATCTGTACTGTAACCTGGTGTATTGAGGAAAAAAAAAAAGAAAAGAAAAACATTTAAGCCAGAATAGTGGAATTGATGGTTGGAAAAGTTTTCAACTTTTCTTTTTTGGCCTAAATGGTTTCAGATCTGTGTAAATGAACTCCTTGGTGTGACCCAAAATGTTCTCTGCTGTGGACATTGTGTATACACACACTTTGTTTCGGCATGAAGAATATTTTATATGTGCTTTGCTTGTTTTTGCTTCTGCTTTGCCTTACTGATGGAAAGCTTAGCCAAACATTCCTCCTTCTTGAATACCAAGATAGAGCATTTTTCTTTTTTTTCCAGCTGTAGTTACATGAAATTCTGCTTATTTGGAAGACCAGTCTCTCAACTCTTGGCTCTCAATCACTAGTAATATCGCTGCTTTAAATTTTCAGACAGTGGGAGTAGCTCACCGCTGCCCAAGTATGCCTCATCTCCCAAACCAAACAACAGCTACATGTTCAAACGAGAGCCCCCAGAGGGATGTGAACGAGTGAAGGTCTTTGAGGAAATGTCGTAAGTAATGTATCTTTTTGTCGGCTGGTGGCTGCTAAGCACTAAAGTCTTTCTTCCGTGTTCAGCCTTTTAATGATTACGTAGACAAGTCCAGCTGATCTGCAGCTACAAAGAGTCTATCAAACTGCTGCACTCCTTCTGTTTGCTTCCAATGTTTACAGGAAGACTTAGTATGTTATCTATAGGGGAAGCAAACAGTCGATGTATGTACAAAAAAGGAAGGGCTTGCACTTTTCCATAACGGATTTCTCCTCAATGCGTTAGCCATGCTGGTTGCAATGTAAGTGCTGCTCAATATGTTCTTCAGCCACATTTCAATAAAGTTGTATGTTGCTGGCCTACGCTGGGGGAGATGTATAAATGTGCAGCAATATTCACACCTACTTCTGTTGTAGGTAGCATATACAGGAAATAAATTTCTCAATCTGGACGCTTTAGAACAAACAAGTGAGGGCAGCTTTCAATTTATTAGTATTGAGTGGATGAAAAAATGTCAGTTCAGACCTTGGTATACACTTCTACAGAAGCAAAAATAAGAATCAGGGGCTCATGTTTAGTGGTTTATACATCTCCTCCATAGTATTCTTCAAAGCAGTCCGGTTTTCAGATTTTATTTATTTTTTCGTTCTTGAAAGAACTGTTCTTCAAAAACAGAGCTGATTGCACTAGGGTGCATGATGTTAACCACTGGGTGATTTGGTCATTTCCGGTCATTGAAATCAGCATGGACATCTTTATTACAAACGTCACAATTTCTCAACATCCCTGCTAAAACACAAGTTTCAATTTATTCTACATGTGTTTAAAATAGTAGTCTAAACCATTTGGACTTTGCTAATCTGAGAAATGTTGCACACTTCTTTCAATGAGCAGGCTGCTCTATAGTATAACTTGCGATGTCCATGCCTGAAGGTCCAATACTATACCACATTTTGATGGTGTTTGTTCAACCATGATTTCCCTCTTCCTCATTAAAGGACCACTCTAGGCACCCAGACCACTTCAGCTTAATGAAGTGGTCTGGGTGCCAGGTTCAGCTAGGATTAACCCATTTTTTAATAAACCTAGCAGTTTCAGAGAAACTGCTATGTTTACAAATGGATTAATCCTTCCTCCAATTCCTCTAGCGGCTGTCTCAAAAGGCAATTTTTTTTTTTTTAAATTTTTATTTTATTTTTTATTTTTAGTTGTGTTTTTACCCCTTTCCTCTCCCGAGAGCCGGGCGGGAGGGGGACCCTGAGGGTGGGGGCACCCTCAGGGCACTATAGTGCCAGGAAAACGAGTATGTTAAAGGAACCCTATAGTCACCTAGACCATTTTAGCTTAATGATGTGGTCTTGGTGCAGTGTTCCTGTCCTCCTAACACTGCAAAGTAGAACATTGCAGGTTTTTTTATATTAACAAACTGCAATGTTTATATTGCTGGTTTTAGTTAACCTCTGAGGTGAGCAGCACTATGGGACTCTTTGTGCTTGAAAAGGGGGGGGGGGGTAGAAGGGAGATCTTTTATTTGATTCCTCTAGGAAAAAAAGCAAATTTTAGGTAACACAGCAAATGTGTTCAACGTTTTGGTATGCTGGGTCTATATTTTTATAAAGTTTGGAACCTCGGTGTATTAACCTCTGACCTTATTTTGTTTTCATGCATTCATGTACCAGTCTTGTCCAAATATCCTGGTACATTACTCTATGAGAGTCACACTTTAATCATGAAAGGCCCTGGGTTACCTAATGGATTAAAGTGCACTTGACCAACACTTTAATTACTGTGTAATGCTATTTTCAATTAATAATTTTTGGGAGGAGAGTTCAGACCGTTTGAGGACTGAGACTGTGGTCAATAGATCTTCACGCATCCCCATAGCTAACCATAGTATGGAGTCAGGGTGACTCTTAATTGATAAATGGGTTAAATGTATTTTGAATGGAAATCAGTGCTTGGACCCATTAGTGAAAGATGACAAGATATTTATTAATATCAAAGTCTCGCTCTCAATCAGTTTGGTATTAGCATTGCTAACTAGACCTTTTCCCTGCATGCATTTTCACTCTTTGAGGAGTCGCATGCCAGGAATTCCTGGATTTGGGTCTGAAACGAATAACGTAATCACAATAACTTCAGTCCACAAATCAGGGCTGCAATTATTCTTTCACCCTGATGTGTTGACATATTAATGGTCATTTGAACCAATTTGGGGGGGGAAGGAGAGATGTGCGTAATTCTAACGTCTTAATACTTAAATTCTATTTCTAGTAACTTCCATTGACATTTTAAATGTGTCCCATTTCTTATGCCTCCGATATACAATGTTACGAATTCAAAATGGTATTGTTGTAGATTTAAAAAGGACGCTATAGTCACCAAAACAACTTTAGCTTAGTGAAGCAGTTTTGTGTATAGATCATGCCCCTGCAGCTTCACTGTTCCATTCAGTCATTTAGGAGTTAAATCACTTTGTTTATACAGCTCTAGTCACACCTCCCTGCATGTGACTTACACAGCTTTCCTAAACACTTCCTGTAAAAAGCAATTTAATGTTTACACTTCTTTTATTGAACATTCTGTTTAATCACACACTGGAGGCTCCTGCAAGGTCTAGCAAGCTATTAGCAGAGCAGACAATGCATTCTAAATTAAAGTTCATTTTACAGAGCAGGAGCAAAAAATATTTAAGGTAATTTACATGTGAATGAAAATGGAACCATTTTATTTTTTTAAACCGGCTGTGTCAGTCACAGCCAGGGGAGGTGTAGCTAGGGCTGCATGAACAGAAACAAGTGCTTTAACTCCTAAATGGCAGTGAATTAAGCAGTGAGACTACATACAACAAACCTGCTTTATTAAGCTAAAATTTGTAGGCGAATATGGTGTCCCTTAATGTCTACAACAAAGCATAGGAACATAATGTGAGAGACTTAAGCCATCTGAGGGCAAAGTAGTGGCAGTTAATTAACCCCTCAACAGGACTATTTTATGTGTGGCAATTCTACACATTCTAAATATACATTTTGTAACCAGGTTTCTAGAAATGTCATACCTTTTTGTCTATTTGCCTTCATTTTATGTTTGTTAAATATCCCCTTCTGATCATTGAAAACATGCAAGAAAAGAAAGGTAACTGATGGCATCTTGGGAGAGTAAAGGTGCAGAATTTTCTTGAAATGGATGTAGTTTTCTTTCCACTTGCTTCCGCAGCACATCTCCCCTCACTGAACACTTCATTAGCCCTTAGTGAATTGAGTAAGAAAGAACTACCCCAACATAAAGTTAAATGTTTCTTAATATATAGATTTGAACAAATATTAATGAATATTGCCCAATGCTAGCAAGTGTTCTGTTTCTTTGAAAACCAATGTTGGCTTATCTGGCAACACAAAAAAATAATCTGCATGGCTAGTGTTTTATCGGAAACCTAATTGTGATTTTATGTTTGGCATTTATATTTTTATTTTTTTTCATTAGTATGAGATTGTCATGTTCGATCAAAACTAAAACCTAAATGAAAATATTTAATTAAAAAAAATTCTCTCCTTTCAAAACTTGAAAAGGATTATTACATTTAAAATAGTTCTGAGGTTACAGTACTCCTTCAAAGAGACACTGTGGTACAAAGAAAGCATTTTCAAACTCAGAGAGATGAAATGGCTAACACTGAAAGGATAGACAGACTCAGATTTCCATGCACTATAACTTTTTAAAGGGGAACTATAGTGCCAGGAAAACAAACTTTCAAGACCCCCTCACGCGGCACTGAAGGGGTTAATAAACCCTTCAGTCTCTTACCTGGGTCCAGCTCCGATGTCCCTCGGCGATGGATCAGCTCCGCCGCGCTTGCATTAGGATCTCCCCATAGGACAGCATTATTCAATGCCTTTCTATAGGTATTCCGGCGACGCTGGAAGTCCTAGTGCATAGTAGTCTAAGAAGCCGGAAGACCTCAGCCACTAGAGGACGAGTTAACCCTAGCAGTTATTGCAGTTTTATCAAAACTGCAATGATTACCGGTTATGGGTGATGGGAGTTGGCACCTAGACCACTTCAATGAGCTGAAGTGGTCTGGGTACCTACAGTGTCCCATTAACACTGAAGGAAATTCAATGGATGCCCACAGTCTGGCCTCTACTGGAGGTGTGGCTAAGGCACAGATTAAACATTTCCTTCTAGTCTTACCATTTAGTCTTGCCATATCTGCTCAGGCTGCTTGTCATTAGCCCAAGCAGCACAGAGGGCATGGGTTGCTGGGGACTCTGGTTTAGATAATATAGACAATTTATTGCTGAATGGAAAGATTGCACCAGGGGACTCCTGACTCTAACCAATGCCTACTTTGTCCATTTAAGTAGACTTTAGACTCATTGATGCCTAATCTGAGCCAGTTTGAATTTTTTTTTATTTATTTTTTTACACACATCTAACTGCCACCAAAATAGAATTTTAACCTGAAATTTCCCTCCTGTCCCAAACTTTTATTTACTGATGGACCCTTATTAAACGAAATTTTAAATATTGAATTATTTTCTCTGCAATATATTGACAAAACAGTTGATGCCATTTCATTCCAATCCTCCCCCCCCACCCCCCCCAAAAAGAAAATTCTTAGAATTTCACATTTCCTTTAACATTATAGATATGTATGTGACTTGTTTTTGTGCTAAACCATTTAGCAGTACCAGTCTGGTGACCATGAAAATGTGTTTTAATGTGTGCATCCTTCCCACACTTTTGCGGTTATGGAAGAGGTTTGCCAGAGGGAAGAATATCCTCCCATCTTTCATTACCATAACAGCCATATTAAACATGATCAGTGTTTTCTTGCATTACAAATGATTAAACTGTTTTATATTTATATACTGTCTTAATTAACTGAAACTTTTTTATTTTTTTCTTCTTCTTCTTCTTCTCTGTTGTCCAGGACACGTCAACCAGCCTCTCCTGCTCTCTTTTCATGCCCCGACAAAAACAAGGTTAATTTTATCCCCACAGGATCAGCTTTCTGTCCTGTGAAACTCTTAGGTCCCCTGTTGCCTGCTTCTGATCTAACGCTCAAGAACCTTCCAAATAATGTTCAAAGCTCAGGTGTGAGCAGTGTGACCATCGAACACCTTTCATCTCAGGTCTCTTCCTCATCTCTGTCAGAAAACGCCACCAGCACAGACAACAGCGAGACCAATGGCCGTGTATCGTCCCAAGACCTACAGCTTGTGGTGGAACAACTGACTGAAGATCAGGTTTCATCATCTCCTCCTAATCCTAACCATGTACTTTAATTCCTGACAGAGCAGGTCTCTGTTTTAACAAGCTGACTTGAATCCATGTTACAAAACTTTTGCATGTGGATTGGTAAAACCCTAATTAAAAAAAATAAAAAAATAATACTGCTTAGAGCAAATTATCCTATATGCCAATGTTTATCTTGGACCAGAACTTATTTTTTATTTTATTTTTATTTTCTTTTGAGTAGTGATAATTTGTGCAAAACTCCCACCGGTATTATTTAATCTATTTCAGTGTGGACTATGCATTTCAAAGTATGTCTGAACAGGTATATCTGCTTTCCGTGTGCTCAAACTTTACAGTAATCATAAGCTCTATCAACAAATCAAAGCCTGTCTAAGCCGAGAATTGTCTTGCTGTGTTGTGTTCTATGGAGAATACTGTACTTCAGGATTATGTTTACAATTGAGCTAGATGTCTGACATCTCTAGTCAGTTTGGTGAAGGTGTAGTCTGCTATGGACTCCATTACAGGCACCTCTGATACTAAAGTGATACAAATATGTAATGCAAAAATAAACTCAACGGCCACATCAATTGCACAGTGCCCGTCCTAAGGCCTAGCTTTCAGGTACTTCTTTCGAAGTTATAAAACTCAGGTAACTTGGAATGTAAACCACATTGGAATTATCCATCCTTACTGCTTAAAAGAAGCTCAAAATTAAGATACGAGATTCTATTATATGCATATATTATTTTTATTTTTTTTTTCCCCTTGCGGCATTCCACCATCTTGGAGTCCTATCCAGGTGGAACGTTCTAGGCACTGCTCTTCTAGAGGAACCAGCAAACCTTGTAATTCAGATGTCATAGTTTTTTGTATTTATTTTCTTTCCAGAATGGTCTTGAAGACTCTTGGCTACTGCAAAGTTCTAGTACATGTACACACACTTTTCAGTGCGTGTCAGATGTATAAAGTTTCCTACAAGGGCCACTGGCTATTTATTTGGATCTCCTGCTCAACCAATGTTTCCTCTTTAAATGGTGTAAAAAAAAAAAGTCCCTTGTAAGCTGAAAACAAAGTTAATGCCTAGTTTCTTTAGTGTTTAATTTTTAAAAAAAAATTTTTTTTTAAGCTGATTTGTACAGCTGTTTTTATTTAAGTTTAGGTTTTTTTTTTTTTTGTTTTTTTTACAAATTAGGCGTTTTGATAAATGGCACAAGCAATACAATGAACTCTTGCTAATCAAAATGTCACAAAAGCACCCTAGTGGTGGTCTCTATTTTTATAGTTCGTGCTGCGATGTGTAAACTTTGCTACTGTCTGATAATACATACCCTGTTCTGTACATGTTTGTTTTATTCTGTCAGTGTTGGTTCATTATGGCGATGCCATGACCCGTACCAAATTTCTGAGAATTGGCATTAATTGCAGTTGTCAATGTACAGAATAATTTATCCCATTCACACAATATTTAGTTTGTGATATATGCACAGTGATCTATCTCCCTGTAAAATGTTGCCTTGCCCATTATGTGTATTTTATATTTTATTTCACTGTTGCACATTGTTTGACTAGAAATTACAACGTATGATCCTAGGTGGAGAATAAAATATTTAATTTTTTTTTTTCTATTTATATTTTTATAAGTCTTTAGGCGAAAGTAGCAAATTATTCTTTTTCTTTGTGTGTTTCTACTTTGCTAAAGCCAGTTCATACAGTATTTAGAAACACTGCAGAAAATGGCACTAATTGCAACATATCTCAGGTCTGTGTAAAAATAAATCAAATAAAAACATTTAAATTAATCACAAGATAACTGTGGATAGATACATTGAAATATTGAAGTACAACTCTGGTTATATTTTTTCAATGTTGAGATTCAGTACAGTATTCCCAATACTTACATTTTGATTCCTAGAATTGTACCATGACCGATTAAGGGTTAAAATGACATTCCTACATATTCTGAAACTATTACATTGATAAATTGTCCTCCTTTTCTATGTGAAATTAGATATAAAATTTATCTGTGCACATTTTTTTGTCTGCTTATTCTGTGTGATCAATCAAGGTTGTAGAAGGAAACAAAATCCAAACACTCTTTAAAAGTTCTAGAACCTTAGCTTCAGTGTATTCAGGAAAAAAGTAGACATTTTGTTAAAGATCGATTTAAAGATTTGTACATAATTACTGTTATTTCTAGCCAATGTGCTGAACAGTATTCCAGTTACCACACAACATTGCTTCAGAGAAAAGACTGTGTGGCTTTTGTTTTGTATTTTTTCAGTATAGAAGTTCTTGTGTCTTTATTTAAATAAAGTTATTAGTAAAATGCAAATCTCTTGTCTGTGATTAATGTGAATTGCACTGTTTAAATAAAATATTTGCTCCATGACTGATTTCATTTGGTAAAAGACAAGTAAAAACCGAACAGAAATGGCTTTTACGTTAAAAAAACAAAAAAAAAAACACCTAAACTTGCCAATGTGTCAGCTAAGCCTCCTCCTGCCTGTTTGACCACAAAGAAGCAAAGTTGGATTAATGGTGAGTGTGATAAAGCGTCAATAATGGAATAATATGGTTAAAGGACCACTATAGTCACCCAGACCACTTCAGCTTAATGAAGTGGTCTGGGTGCCAGGTCCCTCAGGTCTTAACCCTGCAGCTGTAAACATAGTTTCAGAGAAACTGCTATATTTACATTGCAGGGTTAATCCAGCCTCTAGTGGCTGTCTTACTGACAGCCGCTAGAGGTGCTTCCACGACGCTCAATGCAAAAATCGCATTGAGCACGCAGAACGTCCATAGGAAAGCACTGAGTAATGCTTCCCTAAAGGCGGTTACTCTGGTCGCGTATGTGCATTCGACTTCACTCTGGAGCGGATGTCTGAGGGGGAGGAGAGGTTACAGCGCCAAGGCAGTCTGGCGCTGAATTAAGGTAAGTGGCTGAAGGGAATTTAACACCTTCAGCCCAGCAGGAGGGGGGCTCTGAAAGTGGGGGTTACCAAAAGACTATATTGTGGCAGGAAAACAAGTTTGTTTTCCTGGCGCTATAGTGGTCCTTTTAAATGAGACCTTTCTTGTTGAGTTTGGCATTACTTTTAGGATTAGAATCTGGGTTGGTTTCAGCCTTAAATTTACCCATAAAATTATTAACCTACATGTTATTGCTGCTTAATACCACTCACTTATGTAAAAGGTACACTATGGTCGTCAAACAACTTTACCTTAAAGGGAAACTATTGTCATCAAAAATACTTAAGCTAAATGAAGCAGTATGAGGTATAGATAATGCCTCTTAGGTTTCAATGCTATGTAGGAGTGAAATCACTTTTGTTTTGGTTTATGCAGCCCTAGCCACACCTCCCCTGGCTGTCACTCACAGCCTGCATGGAAAAAAGTTAAATTTTTAATCCGATGTAATTTACTTGAAAAGTGTTTTTTATCTCCTGCATTGTTAATTGAGCTACATACAGAAGGCTCCTGTAGGGTCCAGCAAGCTATTGGCAGAGCAGGAGATAATACATTTTAAATTAAAACCATATTTGCAACAAGTGTAAACTTTAGATGACTGTTTAGAGGAAGTGCTTAGGAAGCCTGTATAAGTCACATGCTGGAAGGTGTGACTAGAGAGGCAGGGCATGATCTGTACACCAAAACATTCATTAAGCTAGTTGTTTTGGTGACTATAGCTTTTATAGTTTTGGTGACTATAACTGCTGCTGCAGTTTAGGTGATAGATCACTTTGTTTATGCAACCTTAGTCACACCTCTGCATGGGACTTGCACAGGCTTCTCAAAAAGATCTAAAGTTTAAATTTTATTGCATGACCTGCTCACTATGAAAATATTTGAAATTCAATTTAAATAAATAAATTCTAAATTAAACATTAATAAATTATATAAAAGGGATACAGAAAGAGGTGGAAAAGGGGTTTTCCATCCACAAATATATATTTACAACAATATAGTTTACACAAAAAGAGAATACAAATAACATTGTACTTTAGTAATATATGCATATTTACATATAGGTCATTGTGCAGAATACAGCTTTTTGTGTCTTCCCATATGTCACAATGACATCTTAGACAATCCATCTACTTTAATGGATTAGTTGAGAGAGATGACATTACATATCTTTTAAGACTAGGTATAAAACCTATGGGATGTTAGGTGATTTCCAATATCTAGGTATTACTGATGTAGCATTAATAGCCATCTAGAGCTTGCAAGAGCTTCATGTGAATGATTAAAGTTCAATTTACAAAGTGGGAGAAGAACTTCTAAAGAAAGTTAACATCTGACTAAAAATGAATATTTATTATTTATTTAATGCAGGCTGTGTGGTATGGCTACAGCTGTACAAACAAAAGTGACTTACCTCCTAAAACACTCCATTAAGCTAAAGTTGATGCATATAGTGTCCCTTTAACTTCCAAACTAAGCCTTAACTCTGTATCTTGCAGGAGGCACATCCAGTATTGTGGGCAAGTTCACAAATTGCAGACATTCAACAAAAATCTATAGCATTTAAAATGTAATGCAACATTTATTTTACTGCAGCAAGAAGTGAAAGCTATATTATAGTAAGATGATCAGGACTGAAGAAGAAAAATTTTTAAAAAATTCCCCTGGAATAATAAATTGATGTTATTTTCTAGGTTTAGTATTTACTAAATGGAATGTAATTATTTTACCCAGTGGTTCTTAATTCCTGGTTCAGAGCCCAGAAATGTGGTGGATCCACATAAAATGGGCTTCGTATAATTCTGGTGCACGGTAATTGTTTACAATAAATTGTTTACTGTAGCAGCTCTGCCACCCCCGTACTCAAACTGCAATCTTTAACCCCTTAAGGACCGCTTCAGAAGCTTATCTTACGCTTAAAGGACCACTATGGTGCCCCAACCCTCAGGATCCCCCTCCCGCCAAGCTCTGGGGGGATTAAATTTATCTCTTTCTCCAGCGCCGGATGGGGAGCTCTCCTCCTCCTCGGCTGAATGCGCATGCGTGGCAAGAGCCGCGCGCGCATTCAGCCAGTCTCATAGGAAAGCATTCACAATGCTTTGCTATGGACGTTGGCGTCTTCTCACTGTGAAAATCACAGTGAGAAGCACGCAAGCGCCTCTAGCGGCTGTCAACGAGACAGCCACTAGAGGCTGGATTAACCCTAATATAAACATAGCAGTTTCTCTGAAACTGCTATGTTTATAGAAAAAAGGGTTAACCCTAGCTGGACCTGGCACCCAGACCACTTCATTATGCTGAAGTGGTCTAGGTGCCTATAGTGGTCGTTTAATGACACAAGCAATTTTTGCATTTTCTTGCTGTATGCGTTCAACTGCAATTTGCATCTCTCTCGTTTATTGCACCGACACATATTATATACTGTTTTTTAAAGGAGAGAAAGGGCTTTAATTTGATGTAACACACACATACATATATATATGTGTATATATATATATATATATATATAAATGCGTATTTATTATTTTTTAAAAAATACAGAAAAAGGCAAAAAAAAGAAATTTTTTGTTTTTTGTACAGTTTTTGCAATAATAATGTGTGCCTAATTAGTGCAGGTTAAAGAAAGTAAATAAAAACAAATTCATTTAGTTGTTCTGATTTACAGAATATATAATGTGTCTGGGATTTTAAGTTTTTTTGGTAGTTACAGGTCTCAAAGCACAAGGAGTAAAATAAACTTTTAATGTGGAGCGATTTTAGAATTTGGTATGTTTGTCTTGTTAACTTAATAGCCATAAAAGAAAACAAAATTGCCACACAAAAGTACATATTTATATAAAGTAGACATCACAGGCTACTGTCCTAAGGTTGTTTTGACACTTTCTATATAGCCATTTCACTGCCAATCTCTGCTAAATATTGGAGTAAAATTTATTTTTGGGGGTTTTTTTGGCACACAAACTTATAACAAAACTTCTCATGTGTATTTTGTAAAGTTGGTGTGTGTTATTCTTGTACAAAGTTTTATTCTGTGTTCAGTTACTTCTGCGTATAACGATACCCCCATTGTATGTCTTTAGCGCTATTTCGTGAAGCTACAGTGCCACATAGGAGACCTGTCCGTTTCAACATTTACAGTAGAATTTTGAGAGGCGGATTTAATGGGCCTATGCTTCAATTTGGGGTATTATAGCAGTTTGACTGTTCAAAAAAAAACAAAAAACCACAAAGGCCTACCATTTGTAAAAGTAGACACTCCAGGGTATCTCATATGGTGCATATTGTGCCTTAACATGGCCCCATTTTTTCACCAATATATGCCAAAGTATGTGGTAAAATATAATTTTGGGCATTTTTTACATACGGATTACATTTTTGCTGGTCATTTTGTACATTTCATATGTGCCACTAAGTTCAAACCCCCCAAATTATGCTCAGCTAAGTCTTCTGAGTAAAACAATATGCCCAATGTATGACCTAGACACTATTTTGTGAAGTTACACTGCTGTAAAAGAGACGTGACAAGGTTTTTAAGTGTGAATTTTCATGGAGGGTTTTGATGCGTCCGTGTCCCACTTTGGAGCACTTGAGCAGGCTACATATTACAACTACACCATAAAGGCATACCATTTCTTAAAGAAGACATCCCAAGGCAATTAAAAAGGCATATTTTGAACCTTAGCGTGGGATAATTTTTCCGCTAGCTTGTACCAAGTGTAGTGGTAATGAGCATTTTTTAATGTATTTGTTTTACTTTGTAAAACCCTGTTTTTAAACTTTTTTTTACTTATTAAGTGTTTTACACTTTCTTAACTTTTTTTTACACTTTTTTCTAAACTTTTCTTTTACCGTTAACCCCTAACTAGCAGTAAGCAGCACTAACAGTAAATTCTCCCCTTTCCCATAACGCCCACCCACTCTAGGTAGCAAAATATATATAATTATAAAATATTTAAATTAATTAAATAAATTGAACCCCTGAGGGTTAAAAATAAATAATAGTTAATCCTCGGGGGTTAAAAGAAATTAGATTATAGTATAATACTGTGATCTGTATTTTGATCACTGTAGGCAGTGATCAGCTGGCAGGGAAGGGGTTAATTTTTATTTAGACTGGTTAAAGGGGGATGGTATTTTTTTTTTTACTTAAACGTTACTTTTTTAAAAACTTTTTTTTACCTTTTTAAAGCTTATTTTAAAACTTTTTTAACGTTAACCCCTAGTTAGCCTAACACCAAATTCCCCAATAACGTCCACCCATGCCAGCTAGCTAAATATATAATTTTTAAATATTTAAATTAATTAATAAAAAAAATTTAACCCTCAGGGGTTAAAAAAATAAAAATCAGATGACATTAAAATGTATACCCTGCCAATTGATCACTGTAGTCAGTGATCAATTGGCAGGGGAAAGGGGGGGAGGGG